AGGGAAGGAACGAGGAGAGGGAGGAAAGAGGGGGACTAGTACCCATAGCCTAAGAGGATAACAGCAGGAGACCTAATGACATATCAATTAACCAATGGGTTCCCAACTGCTGGGCCGCAGCCTGCTGCCAGGCCGCAAAGGGTTGGCTGCCAGTCCACAGGAGTGCTGGCTGCCAGACCAGAAGTGACCACGGGCTGGTAAACCACAGACTGGAAGTGACTGGCATACTGCAGACTGGCAGCCAACCCTTTTTTTATACCAAGTATAAAAAAAGGTTGGCTACCTGCCTGCAGTATGCCGGTCACTGCTGGTCTGCAGTTTGCCGTTCTGCGGTCACTTCTGGCCTGTGGCTTGCCGGTCCTCAGAATAAAAAGGTTGGGAACCCCAGGATTAAGCAATTTGCTGCTCATTCACAGGTGCTCCCTCCCTCCCAGCACAGGGCTTCACCTGGGCTGTGCTGTCTGGCTGGTTTTGCCTCCTCCCCGCCGTCAAAGGGCTCTGGGAGCCCAGAGCAGCTCCCAGTAGCCACTGTGTCTGAGCTGCTGTGTTACTGGTTAATCATTTAACTGATATAATTAGAGGGGGTTAAACAAATATTTTTTAAAACAATATTTACATCTCCAATAAGAACATGCATTTAACAAGTAAAGACATAAATACATCTTAGTGATTCTACTGTATATCCATTTTAAAAAGCGACTTCTTTCCCTTAGCGCACAGAGGTCTAGCAGTGTCATCACCATTTATTCTGGAAAACCGTTCATATGCAAATAGATCTTTCTTCCACTAACAGTATCAGACAGTGGAACTGAAACTCAAGTTATTTTAAAAAAAGAAAACAAGCTGATAAGAATTCTTTTAATATAAAGGTAATGAAGACCTCATGATAACAAAGTTGACTTATCAGTGTAAAACAATTATTGTTTACATTACTGCAATGTGAAACCTCTAGAATAAAATGACAGATCAAAATTAGAGCTGGTACCAATTTATTCTACCTGAAAATCTTGAGACTATATTCTTCAGACAACTGTATAATCAATAGTCCTACATTATTTCATGTGACACAATAAAGATGAATACTGGTGCCAAGAACAAGCAAGAATATATCATTAAGCAAATGGTAAAGTAGGAGTGTAGGAAGCAGACCACATCAGTGTTTTTTTTCATTACCTATGGAAATAGAATGAGCCTTGGGGGGGAAATGTGACCTAGGAAGAAGAGCCTGAAACCCATCTATACCAATGCAAACTGGAATACAACCATACCAAGCTGGATGTTGAGAATCAGGTTACAAAACAGATCAATGGCTTTCTCTGTAGCCTGTACTCACTGGAAACCCTTTTCATAGAATCATAGAAAATTAAGGTTGAAATGGACCTCAGGAGGTCATCTAGTCCAACCCCCTGCTCAAAGCAGGACCATCCCCAACTAGATCATCCCAGCCAGGCCTTTGTGGAGCTGGGCCTAAAAAACCTCCAAGGATGGAGATTTCACCACCTCTCTAGGTAGCCTGCTCCAGTGCTTCACCACCCTCCTAGTGAGAGAGTTTTTCCTGATACCTAATCTAAACTTTGCTTGCTGCAACTTGAGACCTTTGGTTCCTTGTTCTATTATATATCTGCCACCACTAAGAACAGTCTAGCTCCTTCCTCTTTGGAACCAACCGTCAGGAATTTAAAGGCTACTATCAAATCCCCCCTCAATCTTCTTTTCTGCAGAATATATAAGCCCAGTTCCCTCAGCCTCTCCTCAGAAGTCATGTGCCCCAGACCCCAAACCATTTTGGTGCCCTCCACTGGACTCTCTCCAACTTGTCCACATCCTTTCTATAGTGGAGGGCCACAAACTACTCCAGATGTGGCCTCACCAGTACAGAAGAGAGGGGAATAATTACTTCCCTCGATCTGTTGACAATGCTCCTACTAATGCAGCCCAGTATGCTGGCAACTTTCTTGGCAACAAAGGCACAGTTGGCTCACATTCAGGTCCTTTTCTTCAGGGCTGCTGCTTAGCGAGTTGGTCCCAAGCCTGTACCAGTCCATGGGATTCTTCTGTCCTAAGTGCAGGACTTTGCGCTTATCAGAGGTGTGTCCAGACAAGTACACACATGCATTTCCCCAGGGACAGCAAGTTGCCACAGGTGGGGTAGGGGAGGCTGGGGCCAGCATCTGGGCTGCTCCCAGAAGCCTTACCTGGGGTCCTGAGGACCTCTAGGGGCTCCAGCAGCAGTGACCCAGCAGCAGGGAGCCTGACTGGCAGCCAAAGCAGGGCTCCAGCCAGCCAGGCTCTGGTTTTCAGGCGGTGCACGCTGCTGCCACGTGCACTACTCTGCTTTTTTCAAGCGCAGCCTTTCTTGACATTGGGATCTCCTGGTGTCAAATAAACCCTGCATATGTAGCATGTGCTGCCACAGACCGGTCTGCAGAGCCCCATACCACATGTGCATGCTCGTCTTGATGCACCTTGTGAGATTTCTTTTGGTCCAATCCTCCAATTTGTTTAGGTCACTCTGACTCCTACTTTTCAGTGTACTACAATATCCTCCAGGTTGGGTGTAATTGGCAAACTTGATTAGGGTGCAATCCATCCCATCTTCCAGATCATTAATGAAGAAATTGAACAAAACTGGCCCCAGGACCAACCCCTAGGGCACTCCACTTGATACTGCCTGGTAACTAGACATTGAGCCATTGATCATTACCCATTGATCCCAACAATGCAGCCAGCTTTCTATCTACTTTACAGTCCATTCATCCAACACATACTTCCTTAGCTTGTTTGCAAGAATGTTGTGGGAGACCATATCAAAAATCTTGCTGAAGTCAAGGTATATCGTGTCCACTCCTTTCTCTGCATCCAGAGAGCCAGTTATCTCATCATAGAAGACAATCAGGTTGGTTAGCATTGACTAGCCCTTGGTGAATCCATGCTTACTGCTGACTTTCTTCTCCTCCAAGTGCTTAGAAATGGATTCCTTGAGAACCTGATCCATGATTTTTCTAGGGACTGGGGTAAGGCTGACTGGTCTGTAGTTCCCTGGATCCTCCTTCTTCCCTTTCTTAAAGATGGGCACTATTATTTGTCCTTTACCAATTGTCTGGATCTGCCCTGATTGCCAAGAGTTTTCAAAGATAATGGCCATCGGCTCTGCAATCACATCAGCCAACTCCCTCAGCACCCTCAGATGCACTGCATCTGGCTTCAGAGACTTGTACACATCTGGCTTTTCTAAATAGTCTCTACCCTGTTCTTTCACCACTAAGGGCTGCTCATCTCCTCCCCAAACTGTGCTGCCAGGTCCAGTGATCTGGGAGCTGACCTTGCCTGTGAAGACTGGGGTAAGACTGCGCAGGAGGGTGAGCGGGAGGGCCTGCGGCCCTGCCTGTGCGCCCCTGCCCTAGGGGAGCCAGTCCCAGCCATAGCCAGCCCACCAGCGGCATGATATGGATAGGCACGCACCGCAACCCGAGGGTCCCCTCGGGGCCTGCAGCCCCTAGCTCTGGCACCGCCACCCAGACAGAGCCCATGGTTCTGGGCTCCATGCAGATGGAGCCCCTGGCTCTTTGCTGTGGGGGCTGCCTGTCACTTTTTCAGGCTCTGGGGCCCGGGAGCATGGCCACCTTCCCTTGTTGGGTCTGCTCCCTACAGGGGTCTCTGGCACGCCAGCTGGAGGAGCTCCAGGCTGCAGTCCAGAGACGGCATGCCATCAGGGATTGTGAGCAGGAGATCGAGTCCTACTGCTAGGCCCTTCTCCCCTGGGAGGCGGAGGGTAGACCATGGTCTCCCTCCAGGACAAGGGAGATCTTGGGGACCTCCCTTACTGTCCAGCCCAGGGGTTGGACCAAGGTGGTCAAGGGACCCAAGGCCTGCCGCACCAAGGCCCCTGCCCCACTGGAGCTATTCAACAGGTACAAACCTCTTGCAGCCCCAGCAGAGCCTGCTGAGTTGCCAGCTCCCACAGACAACACAGACACTACTGTAGCTACCGCCCCCGCTCTCCCCAAGACAAAACGCTAAGTGTTTGTCATGGAAGACTCCATCCTGAGGGGGCAATCTGCTGCTCCAACCTTTTAGCTCGGGAAGTCGGCTGCTCGGGAAGCCCACATCCGAGACATTGTGGAGAAGATCCCTAAACTCCTCCAGCCCACAGACCACTATCCCATGCTCCTTATCCATGTGGGCACCAATGACACAGCTCGGAGCGAGGCACTACAGGGATTTGGGAGCAGAGCTAAAGGGCCTGGGGGCACAGGTGGTGTTTTCTTTGATCCTCCCAGTCTCGGGCTCTGGGCTGAGGAGGAAGAGGAGGATCAAGGTAGTTAACCAAAAACTGCGGTGCTGGTGTCATAGGGAAGGCTTTGGCTTCCATGACCACAATCTGCTCTTTGGTGAGAGAGGCAGTGAGCTGCTGAGAAGAGATGGCCTCCACTTCTCTCTGCTGGGGAGGAGGCTCTTCTCAGCCAGACTGGTTGACTTACTCCACCGGGCTTTAAACCAAGCCAGCTGGGGGACAGGGGGACTACCACCATTGCTGGCCCGCTGAGCAACCCTTGCAAAGCTAGCAGGCCAAGGCACTTAAGGGAGCCCCACAAGCCCCAGCCCTGGAACAACTGGTAGGCAAGGCAAGGGCCCCAAGGGGACACTTCCTGCCTCTACACAAATGCTAGGAGCTTGGGGAATAAACAGGAGGAACTCGTCCTCCTGTTTAACGCAAAAAATTACGATGTCATAGAGATAACGGAGACCTGGTGGGACTCCACCCATGACTGGACCACGGGTATAAATGGCTATACCCTGTACAGGAGAGAGAGATCGAGTAGACAAAAGGGGCAGGGGTGTAGCTCTCTCTGTCAAGGAGAGCTATGCATCCCTGCAAGCTGACATTGGTGACCAGGGGGAAAGGCAGCAAAAGCGCATAGCAGTCCCCTTGGCTCTCCAGGGAACTAGCAGACCTCCTGCAGCTAAAAAGAAAGGCCTACAAAGGATGGAGGACGGGATCCACCTCCAAGGAGGAATATTCTGCACTGATCCGGACCTGCAGGGAGCAAACCACGAAAGCCAAGGCTGCTTCAACTAGCTACAAATATCAAGAATAATAAAAAGTCCTTTTTTAGATAGGTGGGGAGCCAGAGGAAAAGCAAGGGTAACACTGGACCCTGCTAAACCAGGCGGGACACTGACAACTGACGCCCAGGAAAAAGCCAACCTATTAAATGGGTACTTTGCATCGGCCTTTCATCAGTCCCATGGGACACCCCTGCCCACTATGGGACAGGGGGGCCTGGGTGGGGGAGATCCCCTGCCCTTCATCAATGCTGACCTCGTGAAAGAACACCTTGAGAGGCTGGATACCTTCAAGTCTGCTGGCCCTGACAATCTACAACCCAGGGTACTCAAGGAGCTGGCGAGCATCATAGCCCAGCCCCTGGCATGGATCTTTGAGAACTCCTGGTGCTCTGGTGAAGTGCCCAAAGATTGGAAGAAGGCCAATGTGGTGCTTATCTTCAAGAAAGGGAGGAAAGTGGATCCGGCAAACTACAGGCCCATCAGCCTGACCTCTATCCCGGGGAAGGTCTTAGAAAAGATTATGAAAGAGGCCATTCTCAACAGACTGGCCAATGGCAACATCCTGAGGGACAGCCAACATGGGTTTGTTGTGGGTAAGTCTTGCTTGACCAATCTTATCTCCTTTTACGACCAGGTGACCTATCACCTGGACAAGGGAGGAGATTGACCTCATATATCTTGACTTCAAAAAAGCCTTCAATCTGGTATCCCATGATCACCTCTTGGCAAAGCTGGCTAACTGTGACCTCAGGTCCACCACAATCCACTGGCTGGGGAACTGGCTCTGCGGCCGGACCCAGAGGGTGGTGGTTGACAGAAGTCAATTGTCATGGTGCCCTGTGACCAGTGGAGTCACCCAAGGCTCTGTCCTTCGACCCATATTGTTCAACATCTTCATTAATGATGTGGACACTGGAGTCAGAAGTAGACTGGCCAAGTTCACTGATGATACCAAACTCTGGGGTAAAGCATCCACACCTGAGGGCAGGAAGGCGATCCAGGCTGACCTTGACGGGCTCAAGAAATGGGCGGATAAGATCCTGATGGTGTTTAACACTGAAAAATGCAAGGTTCTCCACCTTGGGAGGTAAAACCTGCAGCATCCTTATAGGCTCGGCAGTGCTACACTGGTTAGCACTACGGATGAACGGGACTTGTGGGTCATGATTGACCACAAGATGAATATGAGCCTTCAATGTGATGCTGCGGCCAGTAAAGCAAGCAAAACACTGGCTTGTATCCATAGATGCTTCTCAGGTAAATCCCAGGACGTCATTCTCCCGTTGTATTCGGCCTTGGTGAGGTCACAGCTGGAGTATTGCGTCAGGTTTTGGGCTTCTCAATTCAAAAAGGATGCGAAGAAGCTTGAGAGAGTCCAGAAAAGAGCCACGCACATGATCAAAGGTTAGGAAAATAGACCTTATGATGACAGGCTGAGAGCTATGGGGCTCTTTAGTCCAGAAAAGCGCAGGCTCAGGGGTGATCTGATGGCCACCTATAAGTTTATCAGGGGTGTTCACCAGGATCTGGGGGAACGACTGTTCACCCGAGCGCCCCAAGGGATGAGAAGGTCGAACGGTTATAAACTCCAGCAAGGCCATTTCGGGCTGGATAAAAGGAAAAATTTCTCACTGTCCAAGCCTCCAAGGTCTGGAATAGCCCTTCCAGCCCTAATGTCTATGAAATCTATGAAGACTGAGATAAAAAAAAGCATTGAGTACTTCAGCCTTTCCTCGTAAAGTCAGTAGGTTGTCTCCCCCATTCAGTAAGGGACCCTGACCTTCCTCTTTTTGCTAAGATTTCATAGACATCAGGGCTGGAAGGGACCTCGGAAGATCATTGAGTCCAGCCCCCTGCCCAAAGGGCAGGAAGTCAGCTGGGGTCATAGGATCCCAGCAAGATAAGCATCCAGTTTCATCTTGAAGGTGTTCAATGAAGGCGCTTGAACCACCTCCGGAGATACTTGTAGAAATCCTTGTTACAATTCATGTCCCTTGGTAACTGCAACTCCAGTTGCGCTTTGGCCTCCGACTTCATCCCTGCATACCCGAGCAATATTCTTATACTCCTCCCTAGTCCAATCTACCACTTCTTGGAAGCTTCCTTGTTGTGTTTAAGCTCACTGAAGAGTTCTCTGCTAAACTGAGCTGAGCTGGTCACCTGTCATACCTGTTATTCTTTCTGCATATCGGGATGGTGTGTTCCTGCATCCTCAGTAAGGTTTTCGTAAAATACAATCAGCTGTCCTAGACTCCTTTTCCCCTCAGAGAAAAAAGCTTTTTTTAAAGTTCACTGATCATACTGCCTACAAGTATCACCACTTGAGCTCCTAAAAGCTATAGTGATAGGAAAAAAATAAGACTACTAAAATATCTAAACTAAACATTAACCCTTGGAAGTACAGTACAGTCCTGTGCCTAATGAGGGAACAGTCCATAAGTATTTTTAACTCATATTACAAACCAGTAGAGTCTTATGCAATTTAATTAAGAAAATGATTTGACTATTTTCTAATAGGTATTTCATGTTTAAGGAGTGCAGTGGCAGAGCAGTTAAGGCGCAACAGCTTCAGAGACACATGTTTGAGCTTTGCTCTATACTTACACTGTGAGAGCTGGTTTCACTTGACTCAGCTGTAACTAGGTACCTGGTTGCTTGGACTAGAAAGTCAAACATGGCTCGACATGATGCTAGCCAAATCATTTGCTGATGTGCCACTGGCAACAGAAACTGGTGTACATTAGCATTTTAGCCCAATGTGCACTAGACTCAAACAGGCCTCTGACCTTTTATCCCATGTTTATAATACCATACAATTCAGAAAAAAATGCGTCTTAAAGCTAGGCAGAAGTCAAAATAGTTTAGGTGTTACCGTGCCTCTTTCCTTGCTAGCACATGATGAATGCCATTTTCTGCTGCTATCTTCTTTACAAAAGACTTTGTTAATCCTCCTAAAGGAAAAATAGTTCTTCTTAAGGCATCCTGTGAAATCTGGCTGAGGAAGAACGTCTGGTCTTTCAGGTTATCAGCTCCTCTAAGCAGTTTTACAGCTGTAAGGGTAAGAGCACAAAAAGTTTCAAAAGTACATAATTTAAGCTGTATGTGAAAAGGACTTAAACTAGTATAATTCTACCTAAAATAGGAACTCATACTATAGATACCTTTTTTTCCTAATTAAATGGATAAATCTCAGTTTCCTTACTGCACTCAAATGAATATGTTTGCTTCTGTTACTGAAATAACTGAAGCCACATACATTGTTTCTCCTGAGAGAGTCACTGCTCTCCTGGGAGATATGAGGAGTGAACAGATGTTCAGGATTTTTCTCCCAGGGCAAAATAACAGGTTAAATAACCCCTGGGAGAGTTTCTCCTGGGGGTAACAAATGTCTGCAGACATTCCCTTCTGAGAAAAGCCACAAGGTAGTCCTCCAGCATCCCAGGGTGCTTTGGTATATCTATACATGCTGAAACCACACCTCCCAACTGCAGTGTAGATAAAGCAGAACCTACATCAGAAAATGGGGGCCAATGACATCACAGCTGCATTTCTAAATCAAAATCTTTGATTTTTTGGCAAAACGTGTGTTTTGGCCAAAAGACAAGCAAACACTTCATTTCTTTTAATTCAGTTTTTGCACGAGCAAATTTATTTTTTCACAGAAAACAGACACCACTAATTTCACTTACTTGAAAATCCAATTTACAGTCACCCTTAATCACAAATTATAGGATATTAAATGAGGTTTTCTATTATTGGAGAATAAGGAAATTGAAAAACCTTATTTACTGAATGACTGGCCTCTGAACGTGAAATAAGCCACAGCATTCACACAAAGTCTTATGTGATTTAAAATAGATTAACAGTACAAAATCAGGATATCCAGGCAATTTATTTTTGGAATTTAACTTTCTTGAATTGAGAGAAGAACTATTCCAAGTCCTTTTAGCAGTAAATGAAAGTCTTAGTCACATCATCTGTAAAGGGATATTGCAAAATAAGATGGGGACCAGAAACAGCAACAAGACTGATTTAAATTTTTTCCATGCCAATGATATTACCAGAGTAAAAAGATTAGGGCTTTTTACCTTAAACATGAGAAAAAAGGGAACATTATAAAAGGTGGATAATATAATTAACAATACAAATAAGAATACAGGGACCTTATCTTCTTCCTATTTCAACATACAGGAAACATAGAACATTAAATTTAAAAAGTGGACAGTGCATTTCCTGTTATCAGTTATGAATGTTGGGAAAAATAAACAAACTTTAGAACATACTACCACAGGAATTCAGTAAAGCAAGCCACAACATTCAAAAAGGGACTGGAAATATATATGGTACCAAGTATATCTAGGATTTTCATAATACTGTTATTTGCCTAAATACAAGACAACTTCAAATTTAAGATGATCCCCCCACCCCCCAATAACTAGATTCTACATATGGAAAATTATAAATGTGTTTGACTTTCCATATATACAATCTAATTAGTCAAGGGTCAGGGAAAGCAATGACAGGCAGTGAGAAGCCAGACTTTTGCCCCTTGTCCCCACCACATGCCCCCCTCATACTTGCTCCTGTACCCCCTGCCACTCTGCCATTCACCCCCACCACACTGCCCCCTGCTGCCTCCCCACCACTCCCTGCTCCCCCTCATGTCTATGCCTGACACTTGCCAGCTATCCTCCATGCCTATCCCCCCACTTCTGGCCCCACTCCCACCACTCTACTCTGCTTTGCTCTAGTTCTAGTTCCAGGGCAATCAGCAGCAGCAGCTGCACCCCACCTGACCAGGCAAAAGCAGTGGTGGTGGCTCTGGGCCCAATCAGGCCAGAGCTGGAGGGGCCAGAGCTGGAGCAGAAGGTAAGTGGAGGAGGAGCATCAAGCAACAGTTTGCCCCATGCACACCCCCACCCACCTTCACCAGTTTCTCCACACTCCTTCAGCCACATCCCTGCCCCTGTCCAGGGCAGGCAGCAGTTCAGCTTCAGCTCCAAGCCCAGGGTGAAAGCTGGAGCTGAGCTGCCACCTGCTTGGGGCCAGTACTCAAATCTAGATATGACATCCCTCCACCCTGTCCCCCCCCTCATGTCATTTGGGGGAAAAACCTCATCTTGAATTTGAGTAAATATGGTAATTACAATTCTGGAAGGTCTATTAAGCCTCATGCATTAAGTCAATCGCCATGACGAGACCTACCTTTGTGAGCAGATTATCCTAAGCAGCATATTACAGGAGGGGTTTCCACTGAAGTATGAGGTACTGGCCACTATCAGACACATACTGATACCAAACTAAACAGGGTCCTGAAATCTGATCCAATACAGCAGTTCTTATTTTAAAATATTTGAAATAAAGATTTGTGTGAAGGAAATAGTTGCCCTTCATCATTTTATGCTGTGTGTTTATAATTAGGGTAAAATATGAATTAAAATAACGACTTACCATTTCTCACTTCAAATCGGTTTCTGAAAAGCCCCTGTGGTCTACTAATATATTTCTGTTGGAAAACCTCCTCCTCTTCCAGAGAGCTCCTTGCATAATGCCCAGTAGCTACTGCATCTGCTCCTATCAAAATATAAAAAAAGTTGAAGTTAAAATTCATAATATTTACTATATAAAAAAATTATATCAATATTTGAAAATATATGACAAGAAATCATGAGAACAAAAACTAGGTATATGACAACAAGCCTTACAAAGCTAGTTAGTGCTATCGTGTCCTTAATGCAGCCCAAATATTAATGCAAATTATTCCTTGGTATACTGGACTTGGTTTTGATGTGCCAAAGTACACCACCAAGCTTATAAACCTATCTTCACAGCAAGACAGTTTCCTGAAATAAATGTATACTTATCTCCATTAAAAATTCCCAAACAATTTGGGAAAACCCTACAAGTACTAGTATAAAGCTAAACAGATGTTCAAATCAAATGTGCATACAAACTTAAGTTCTTTACCACATTACCCCAAGAGTCTGCACTGTTTTACACTTCAGTAGTAGGCTCAATATAGAGACACACTTGAAAATGGCTTACCAAGGTTATCCAAAGCATAACGAAGAAAATAATTGAATTTGATATGCTTGTTACATATTATGTCAGGATTGGGTGTCCTTCCCAATTCATACTCTTTTAAGAAGTAACTGCAAATAAAATGTGCAATAAATGTAAATATTACTAATATCACATAAATCTTTTTGACAGTAGAGAGGTATTTTACCTGTTAACAATAAGAACTTGAGGCCTAATAATAGTAAAATAATTTGTGAAAGAAATCCTTCAGATAAAGTATCTGTAAGATCATACACAGAAGATTTTCCCAAACTGCAGTTTTTCATACTCAAAAATTTTCAACAGTATTATACTTCAAAATAATAAGTCAACTCAGAATTTATTTTCTATCTTGATACTTGCCTGGCCTCAACAGGACAGTATTTGAGGTTTTTGTATAATGCTTCACTAATTCAAAATGGTTACTAATCATTACAGATTTATAATAGAACCCAAACAGTAGGGTGATGGCATGTATACTGAAACACCTGAGGACCTATTCCAGTAAGGCAAAGGTTCGCAGTTGGGGTTCTGCGAGATGCTGTCGAAACTTCGAGTACTGCAAGACCCTCCACCCCTTCCCCCTGCCCCCTCCACACTTCTCTCAGAAACAGAGGTGTGCAGAACAGTTCCGCCTGCCCCACATCCCTCTGTTTCCGGGAGACACTGTGCAGGGTATAGCCTGGAAAGGCTGCAGCATGAGACAGCTCTCCGGCCTGCTTTAGGTTTATCAGAGAATGCTAATGAGACAGGAGAGTGCACACCTGTGCCAAAAACCCCTCCAGGTCCAGCTGCGCACAAGGCACGTGCAATAGTTCCATATGGCAGCAGTGGTGGCACCACCTGGTTGAGAACCACTTGAGGTAAGCTGAGGCAACACAGCATGGTTATCAACTGGGGATGTTGCCAAATTCAAGAGTTATGGAGGGATAACCCAAATCTAAAAAGGCTGAGAATCCCACTGCAGTAAGGTGTTGCTTCTCTTCAATTTCTGTTCAAGTCCATAGGTATAAGGGTACTAGACTGACCCTTTCAAACAATACAAAGTAATGTAAAGGTACTAACCATAACAATGTTTGTTTTCACTCTTCACTGACTAGAACGGCCTCTGCCCTGACCATCTTACCTTTTACAAAGATTCTCTTTTCTAATGGAACATAAAGCAGCACAGCTTTTCCTTTACTTCCTTTTTAAAATTTAACAGATGAAACTAGCAAGCAGGTAGACAGAATCTATCCATATTTGCATTGCTCAAGTTTCTCCTCTTTGCTAGTTCAGCCTTGCTCTATGATGCCAATCATTTGAGGGAGGCAACACAGTTCTGCACATCCTCAGCTTCTGTTCAGTCCAAACAAATACAAACCCTGCTAGGCAGAAGAACAGAACTATATCAGAGACCTTCTATCCAGTCATCTGGAGAGCAGGAAAGGGCAGCCTCTGCCTGGCTCTTTCTTCAACAGGGCAGTGAAAATGGCTGCTGAATCTCTCCAAAAAAAAAAAAAAGGCTAGGAAATGACATCTTAGAGACCAGGGCAAAGATAAGACCTAGAGTGATGCTCCTAGCTAAAGAAAAGCTTAGAAAGACAAGGCCTATAAAGAACCCTAGAAAGGAATGAATTCTAGGTTTGAAGAGCCCAAAGAGAAAGGGGCCCTGGAGTGAAGCAAAAAAAAAAGTGGTTGTGAGCCCTGGATGGGTTAAAATGACAACAGAAGGTAACAGGACAGGAGTTGTAGTATGGGGCTTGAGATACTGTCTGTGCAGCCACTCTACTCTCAGATCTCAGGCTAGCACTTGGAAGTCCCCTTAACTCTTCTGCATCAAGACAGAAAACTAGAAGGCACCCTGAGCAAAGCAATTTTCCTTTGTATGCTGAACAACACAAGACCAAGTGGTCATGCTTTGAGAAACAAAATCACTGAGAATTAGCATCTGATATGGCATAATGGCCAGTCAAACAGACACTTGCCAACATGGTCCAAGGCATAAGAACCAGGCCCTTCCAGACAGTGATGAATTTGTATTTTAAAAGGAGCAAGAATGATACTAGGAAACAGGTTATTTCCTAGAAGGGTATCTTTTACAGTAGCGAGAATAAATCTCTTTAGGAGACCGGATTAGTAATCTTTATGTCTGAAAGAATGTAAATATTCTCTTTGTCATAACTGAAGCAGGAAAGATTTCTGGTCTGGTAAGCAGATACACACTTGGGGGACAGGAAGTTATATGCATAGTAAAGACTTCCCAATAATTCATTGAATAATGAATGTAAATGGCCAGATAAGAATGCCAGCCAAACCATGAAAGCACATGTTTCAAGTTTCATATTGTTTGAAGTTTCTGGGCAGAAGATGCTTTATGCCCTCAGCTAGCAGACCAAATGTCATAGGTCAACAAGAGCATTTACAGGTAGCCCTGACATGAAGGAGAGAGAAGGCAGCTGCTTTCTAACCTGTGGAGATGGGTAGGAGCTATATTCCTAGACTTTACAGTTTTAAGATAAGGTAAAAACATTGTTCTGATTTTTGTTTGCTAGTTTATTCTTATATCTCTGTCTGTAATCTCAACATACGGATACAGGTTCATTATAAAAATTAGAGCAGTCATAAGAAAACATTTTGCTATTGTTTCTAACTTACTTATTGTCAGTGGTGGATGTGATTTCAGGCCATTTTAATCAAATGGGAGGCCTCCTTGACAGAAGGGGCAGAATCTGTAATTCCTAAGTACATGAACAGAGAAAGGTGTGATTCTTCTAGCAGAAGAGATTTTGTCAGATAAAACCTGACACGACTTGGGTGAGGCAGGTAAAGTGGAGATACCTTAGGTCAAGAAGTTGGCCCATTGGCACATCTCAGGCTGTTTCTAGTAGTCAAGCAGCAGAGAGGGCTTAGGGATGAAAGACACCTCTGTAATTGTCAGCATGAGAACACCCTGGGAGTCTCTCTCAAAGGTGCATTGATCAAAACCAAGGACAGGGTGGGTCACAGTGAGTGTATAAACTCTGATCTTAAAAAGTGTAACAATAAGGAAGGAAAAATAGTACCTACTATATTACAGTACTTCTGTACTGCCTTACTGTTCTACAGACACTACAAAAAATAGTGACTTTTTCTGGCTTAGCTTCACTGCTATCCATGAATTGTTACTATTCAAAATGATGCACTTATACAAAAATACTTGGAGAACATATTCTTAAGGATTTAAAACATATATATTCCTACCTGAATACTTCATTCCAGTATTCTTTTATATAGGAAACCTGATGGAAAGGAATATCCAGTTTCTGACAAACCTTGTAAGCATCTTCACAATCTCTGTCTGCTGAACAAACTCCTTGTTCATCCACAGTGTCCCAGCTCCTTATAAACACCCCTGTTACTTGGTAACCTATTTGATAAAGGGAGAAATTTTCAGTAAATCACTAATTCGTTATGGATCTGATCCTGCAAAAGGACTGCTCAGAAATATCTACAGCTGACAGGCAAGGAGCTGCATCCGGAGCTGGGATTTTGGGGAGGTGACAGCATGGGGCCAGGGCAAAGCCGCAATCTGCTCTCCAAGTGCCCCTGCCCGTGGAACTTGTGTTCATCGTAGGGATCATGGCTCTGCCCCGGCCCCATGGTGTCACTGCCCCAAGACCCCAGGGTCTACAGGCCCCATCTGCCCTTTTCACTCCTGGATGCCACTCCCTGCCAGCCATCTGCCCTGGCCATGTGGGTCCCACCCCTGGCAGTGGGTGTCAGGTGGACAGGCTGGGGTAGGAGGGGGCTGGGTCCAGCGGTGTCAGCTGAAAGATCCTGCCATCAGGGCTGCTGGGAAATGGAGGCCAGCTGCCATGCCAACCCAGCCCCACTGTGGGCCTGGGGGCTGCAGGACTGGCCACACGTGCCAAACCCCAGGCTCCCCCTCACGCCTGGGCCAGGTGGGACTGTATTTTGCCCACCCCTGCTTTATATCATATGGCTGTCATCAGGGTGGGACTGGGTGCCCCCAATATCTAATAAGCACAACCAGAGATTGAGAGCAGCGCAACACTACATTTTTTCAGCATGATGTACACAGAGCATAGGGCCTAGACACATTTTCACAGCAGTCCCCTCAACATTGTCTGGGGCAGTGGACACATACCTGGTAGGTTCCTACTGCAACTGCTTATCTCTGCTCCTGCCAATTGAGTTTCAGGGCAGACCCCTCCCCAGGGTAGATTTGATTTAAATCAAATCAATTTAAAACAGACAAGGTTATTTGGGTAAATGTGATATTAAACCAACTGATCTATTTGAGCTGCCAGGCTTCCTCTAGAACTATTTAGTTGGTCTAATAAAAGATATCATATTTACCCAAAGAACCTTGTCTCCTATGTCCCTACTCCAACACGGCTACAACCAAAAACCCTAATGATTTAAATCACTATTTAAATCACTGGCCGGGAAGCCTCAATTTAATCATTGTTTTCTACAAAAAGGGCACTCTTGTTTCTTGATATCCTTTATTCATTTAACTTCTTGAAACTTTGCACTTTGAGAGAGGTAAGGGCTTGACTGTGTGTACACAAACTTGCAGAGAGACAATAGGCTGGTGGGTAGGTAATCAGGTCTGTTCTCTCTCATTTCCATATAGCGCTGTTAATAGTGCTGATAGGATGTTATCTCTGGAGATACAAACTCACAGTTTGAGAACTGAAATTAAGCATCAAAGAAATGCTTAATGGGATCTTCTAGACTGAACACTGAGTCCCACTGGGTAGAGTAATTTTCTTTAATCTTTAAAAATTTATAGAGGAGCCTCTGAGAACCCCACAAGACTGGGCCCCTAATATAGCCCATGGCCTGTTGTAACCTATTTATTGTGTGGCAACCATTGATCCTCCTGGATCACGGTGTATGCATGAGGGCCACCCAGACCTTCAATGTATATGCCTGGGCAAGAATTTTTTTGGAGGAGTGGAGGCTGACCTATTTAGAAAACTTTTCTAAAAAGGTTACATGAATATAATATCTCAAATAATATACAATTAGAAGTTATAACCTCTATTCCATGATGATATCTTTGAGCTTTAACATATCTTAAATTAAAACAATCTTTATATAGGCTATTTTTAAAAAAACAACCCCCCCCACCAAAATTAAAAATAGGATAAAATTTAAAAAAATAAAATAAAAAAATCATATTTTTTTATTTCAAAAAGTGTTGATTTTTATCCACCCTGCCCCTCACACCATTTTCTTTCTTCCCTGAGGCCACAAAGCTACAAGGAGCCCTGGCAGAGGCTGGGGTTTGCAGTTCTGGGAGTGCTGGATGGCGAGGAACCCCAACAAAAACAGGGCATTGGTATATATTGTTTTACAACCACCAATGAATATGAAAGTCAAATTGTCCCACCAGCCTACTGGAGCTTTATCACTCCTGACTCTACGGTGCCTGACAACTCTGTCAAACAGCAGCGTGCTTTGTAGGGCTTCCTTGGTCACCTACAAGACTGGACTGAACACACCCGATCCCATCTGATCTCGGAAGCTGAAGCGCAGGCCCAGCAAGTACCTGGGTGGCGGCCAAGTGGGAATCCCGGGGGGCGCAGGCAGCCCATGACTTGGCTGCGGGAAACCCGGGTGCACACCGACCTGGAGCATGCCAGGTTGCACCCCTTCCCCACAGCCTCTTGCCAAGGCGCTGGCAGCGCTGCTCCCTGCACCTTTCTGTTTACACCAGTGTTGCCAACTCTCAGGATTTTTGACATCATTAAAGTTTACGCTTCGGGAATGCAAAAACCTTAGCTCTTTCTTTTATTTATAAATATAAATATTATTATATAGATATAGATTATTATATTTTTCCCATATTTCCAGGATCAAAAATGAGGACACCCGTGGGGAGGGGGAATGCCTGTGCCCTGCCTCTGCCCCTCACTCCTAAGCCCCTGTACCTCCAGCCATGCAGCCACTCCGGCCCACTCCGGCGTGGGGCGACCCCTCCCCGCGCCCGCACCTCGCCGCCGGAGCAGCACCGCCGCCACCGCGCTGTCCACGCCGCCGGACAGGGCGCACACCACATGTCGCGCCGCCGCCTGCATCTTCCCGGCTGGGGGCCAGGTTTGAGGGACGGACACTTCCGGCCTGACTTCCGGCGGCGCGGAGGGGCGCGCGGTCCCGCATTGGCCTGTGTCCGGCGGGGAACACGCGCCGCTTCGGCGGTTCCGGAGAGGCCCACGGACCCGTTGCAGGAAGGGGCGCCGCCACCAGGGCTGCAGGGGGCGGGGCTCTTTGGCGGAGTTGCTTGTTGCTTAATTGACACGAAAATCAGGCTGTCCCGGGAGGGCTGCCCACTGTGAGAGCCCTGGAAGTGATCCCTGGCACTGGAGGGGTGGGAAACCACTGGCCTCTGTGCCCTGGGCTGGGAGACTGTTGCCTGTACCAGGAGGGCACTTACCTGCTGGGGCTCAGCGACACACACAGATGCTGCCTGAGCCTGGAAAGTGAACCTGGATTCAGGAAAGCTTGTGCTCTACGTGCATCTCGTAGTCTAGAGGCGCAGATCCGCTCGGTCTGCTGAGTGACTTCGCACTAGCAGGGCTAACCGGCTCTTGGCGCACAATCCAGACCCAGGTGGATACGTGCTTCCCAGCTGTCCGTGTCCAGGCTGCGTACCAGAACGATCCCGCAGATGGCAGACAGGCAGGCTGAAGGACTCCAATGTGAGCGAGGAGACATGGGTGAATGCTCAACCTCCTGGCTGGCGAGGAAATCTCTAGGATTTCTTTGATGATGCAGTCCTTGGCCCTGCCAATTCTGGGTCTGTCAAGGCCATCTTCAAATCTCTAGCAAGTCATGGCTCAATATCATCACCCCTGAGAAGATTGAGTCTAGCTCCTTGTAACAGGGAGCTGTGACTTGGCCAATGTCTAAACAGCAATCAACATCATTACCACTTGTAGGCATGCTACAAAGCACTAAGGTCCTTTGCCTTGAAGCAGCCCTGCAGACTATCACTGCCACATTTGTACATCCACATGCATTCCTTCATGAGGGTTTGACAGACTTTGGCCCTTCCCCAGAACGCTAGCAGGTTCAGTCTTTATTTATGGGCTCTGGTGCAGCTTACTTGAATTACAAAACAAAAGGTAACCAGGTGAGCTGCTAAACTGTCAACAGATGAACCATCCAACAAAAGGTAGGCAAAGTCCAGTGATGTGCCCAAATCTGAAAATGGGGTGGCATCTAAATTACTATGGCTCCAGAAAAGTAGACGAGATCTGAGACTATGATGCAGTGTAGAAATGAAGCCAGGACATAAATTATGTAAATCAGGAACAAAACTGCATGCAAGGCACTGCTAATCCATGAAAGCTGAAGGGATTGATTTCAATTCTTCCAGGGTAAACTTCTTAATTGGGGCAAATTTATTTGAAGAGGGAATAGTGTGCTTGCAACTCTGCTCATTACTCCTCATAAGTACAGCTTGTTTCATGTCAATTATGCAACAAAATAACCTTTCCCAAAATATAACTATCCTCCCCACCCCAATTACTACAGTGGGATGATTTCCAAAGTGTCACACAACAGAAAAACAGCTGTACAGACAGAGGCTGTGGTGCAAATAAGTAATGACTTAAATTTATATTAAAAGCAAGCAAATTACATGGTCTCTGGTAAATGTGAATGCCAAGGTGAGTGACAGAGCAACTTCACATACAGGTCTGAAAATACAGTTATTGGATTGAGCTTTGGGGGACTCTAGATACAGGTCTAGAAGAACCTGAGTTAGGGTACAAGTAACCCAGTTGAGAGAATGTACTCATTTCACAACTGTATGAATTTAAGAGCATACACAAAAGACTCCTTGTACGGTCAAACCTAAAGCCATATTCAAACCTAAAATTTGCCCCAAACTGAGATTTTTGGGGGGGGGGAAATGTTACAACAGATTTATTTCTACTTCCTTTGAGCTGCCAGGCTTCATCCAGAACAGGGGTTTCTTAATCCTCAGGCCACAGCCTGGTGCCAGGCCACAGCAGGTCGGCTGCCAGACCAGAAGTGGCCACAGACCGGCAAACCATGGCCCCCCAGAGCTGAGTGGAGGCTGTGGTTCCCTTTGCAGGGCCCACGGCAGCGCAGGGTTGCCCCCACCCCTGCATCCTTACCCATTTTCTGGCCAGAAATTTCGTCTGCAGTCAGCTGTGACTGTTGGGCCATGGTATAAAAACTTAGGTTCTAGAGCAGGGGTTCCCAATCTTTAAGAATCTTGTTTCCTGATCATTAAGTCAAAAATCCTATAGGACTAGAGTAGCTACTCCAACAATCTTTATGAAAATAGAAAATGCTCCTTAAGCAGGAAAGGATCTAAATGATTTTGTACACTGCTTACAACATAGGAATTCTTGCAGCTAAGGCACTATACAAGTAAACTTTTTGCTTTACATGAAATTCTGCATCACTTACTACCTTTCTAGCATGGGGTTTAATTGACCAATATAATGGACCCTTATTAAGCATGGTTGTGAGAAAGACTCTTCTTACTGTAAAACTCAGTGACTTGTGCCTTCCTCTTTGTTATGCACATTTTTATAAATCTTATCATTAGATTATATTAGTTAGCTTTTTAAAATTTTGGCATTTCACTCTCTGAGGTATTCTTGCTGGTGCTGGGGTAATTAAAAAGTTGAACAGAAATATTTAAAGTGAAGTTGTACCTCTGCCACTAGAGGGCAAGATAAAGAAAAGCAAGCAGCAAGCTGAATTTAATTCTGTGTCTATCATTCTTACTCTAAAATTGAATGTGGTCAGCCAGCCACGAGTACAGATTAGTCATTCTTCCAGGTAGCCATCACCATTCACTCAGATTTATACCTGTGAGATTCTCAATTAGTTTACATTTGGAGTTCCTCTGCTACAGCGTAGTTTAGGACACATGGAACATTGCTGAGCAGCAAACGGCACAGGTAAGGTATAGTCAGAAATGTGAAATTCTAGTCTCCAGTTCTGGTGTACCTGTGTTGTACTAAATGTAGTTAAGGGATGGGGTGAATGGAAATGAAATGATCAATGAGACTATTCTGGTCTCAAATCCTACTTTATTGAACACCTAAGCAATACCAATATTTAATCAAAGCTTTAAATACATACAAAAAACTAGAACTCTTGGTTCCAAAATGATACCTTTTTTTAGACCAACAGGAAAATGGCAAAATTGTCCTTTTCTGCAAGCTTTCGGGATCAAAGTCCCTTAGTCAGGCTCTGGGAAAAGTATAGATGGTACAAAATGGTAAAAAGTCCCCATAGGTAGGAAATAAGCTGAAATGAAGTTTTTTTCCTACCTATCTGGACTTCGATCCCAAAAGCTTGCAGAAAAGGACAATTTTCTTGCCATTTTCCAGTTAGTCTAATAAAAGGTATCATTTTGGAACCAAGAGTTCTAGTTTTTGTATGTCTTTGTCTCAAACTAACACAGCTACCAAGTATACCCCTGAAGCTTTAACTACTACATTCAACTTTTAAGCAAGCCCTAACAGTCAATATAAATATTCTTACACAAACCTTCTGATGGATAGTGAATTCAGCTGGCCAGGCATCTATTACTGCACTGCGGTTCAAGAAGTTGTTTTCTTTTCCTATCCCCAACCTTAAAGATTTTAATATGCTTTTTTTTTTTTCCTCTTTTTTACAGTTCTCTTCTGTATGTTCTATATATGGTTGTCATAAATATTCAATAGCAATCTTTTACAGTGGTTGTTTTCCTATCAGGCTGCTGTTTGCATCCTGTGGTCTTGGACTGTTAAACCACATTCTCTTAACTTTTTTGCTGCCATGGGTTATAGAGGTCACCCTAAACTAAACTGTGACCCACTTGCTTTGCTTTTACTTAGTGGCATTAGTTATGTCAAGGAACAAAATGATATTACTTATGCTTAGCATTTTCCTAAAAGGTAGCTTTCAGAACTACACCTGGGCATGACACTAGTGACAACTGTCTATAACCAGGCACATTACCTACTTTGTAACAGAGGTGCAGAATTGGTAAAGCACTTTGATCTTCAAGAAAAGGCCAATCCATTGACTTGTGTAGTGGTACAACCTATACATTTTTAAAACAAATATGAAATAAGCAAGCTGGAAACTGCAATCCTTCCCATGCTTTCCTGTTTGAATATGACTGCCACAGAGCTAGGCTGGGGCCAGAGCAGAACAAAGTGAAGGGGAGGGAGCAGAAGGAACCCAAGGCTGTAGGATAGAGGAGTGGGGGGCTGGCTGGCCAGCGCTGTGGCCCCAACCCAGGCTGGAGCCACATTAGCCACCACCTGCCCCACAGTGCCTCCTATATTTAACGTTATCTTTTGTCACACCATTAGTGTGACATTCAATTTAACCATTTTGACTTGCTGAAATATTGCATTTAGATTGCACTACTCATTTGTCCAAATAATTTATTTCTAGACTCCTTATACTTTCACACAGATCATTAAAATTCACAGATTGAAGTTTTTAATTACATCTTAATTTTTCAAATATTGTAAGTTTAATACCATTTCACTTTCCAATTACATCTTTAGAAGAAGGTTGATGTTTTTCTATATAATAATTTACTTTAAAAATAAATACATGCATTGTCATATGTAAGGTCAAGTCACATGTATTCAAACTAGAATTCTTGGCGACTGAAATTCTCAATCTTTTGTCAAATGAGTTGCATTCAGTTCTTCATTTTGTTATATAGTAGTTGCTCCATGTTCCTCTGTCAAGATAACACCTCCAACAGCTCAAATTAAAGTTGCAGATGCCAAGAGGAATTTTGGGTTCTGCTTCAGTTCAGAACTTCAGTAAAGGAGAATCCAGGTTCTCTTTGTTCATGTCAGGGCTCAGAGTGATAAGAGGAGAACTCAGATCTATCAGCTGAAAGAAAATGAGAAATTAACAAAATTAAAAAGTTGTTATTTTTGTCATTTACTCTATACTTATACTATATTGGAAACCTGGGTAATTGTAGCCAGTCACCCTAGTTGCACAATGTTGTCTGCTTACTTCCAAAGCATCAGCAGGGCAGTTTAGTTGAAGATTCAGCTCATCAGGTATCTGGAAGACAAACAGCTGCACTACCAGTTTTAAACAATTCAGTCTCTTCACCCAACTAGGTGCCAAACAAAATTAAAGCCCATGACACCAGATGTTCTGCAGATCGGGTATAGGCTAAGCCTAAGTTTTTGATTCAAGATACTGATTTAGATCACAAGCTAAATACCTATACTTGATAGCAATGCCAACTAAAATAACCAGTGCAGGAGGGAAGAAGCCATCAGAACTGAGGTAACCCATTAGGTTCTGTGCAGGAAGGGGACTGGGACAATAATTGTCTATATATACACACACATACAAAACTAGTCTCCAAGCGGCTACTCTGACATTAGAAATGGAGGATGTGAACAGCTTTAGAAGCTAAAAATAAGAGATCTATATTCAACAAGGAAGTGCAAAGTCTCTCTAAAAAAATTTAAGTTTGGGGAATAAACACAATATGCAGAACAGCTTGAAATGCTACAGGAATTCAGAGTCAACCTAGAATCTAATATTATTCCTTATAACCTCTTTCCCAAGCACAATTTTAGTACTCCCAGGAAAAATCATCCCTTGCAATAACAGAAAATCCTCATGTGCTCGAGTTTCATCTATCAGAATAAATGGTCTTCCTGGGAGGGCATTCCAGGAGAGCCCAAATAGACTGCTGCACCCAAGCTATTTTGCAGCTGAACCTCACTAGAGCTTTACTCTGTCATTTTGTTCTTAACACCGTTTTTAGACACTCAGGAAGCTTGCAAATGAAGTCGTTGGTGGTTTGTAGAGACAAATATATTTTGTTAGCGACAGACTAGAGCTAGTTATGCAAAGATTTGCAGTCCGTTAATTACGACAAGCAGCAGCAACATTTTCCCCATGAAGGGAAAAGTCATCCCATTTGCTGCAGGGAGTCATAGTAAGAAATTTTCTATCATTATTTCCTCCCAAATGTATCTTTAAAACCAGACAGAATTATTTGGTCAAGTCCTAAGTTCACAGTGCTAGTTATGTGGCTGGTAAGTGGTTCCATTTACCCTCTGTTCTTCTGCACTGACTATAATGAAGAAGTAGCTAGTAGTCTTCATGGCACTGCATGTTAGGGACCCAGGTACTTTTAGAGTTGCAGGGAGGTACGGGGAGTTAAACCTCAGCTGTTTTATGTTTAAAGGATTACTTGAAACCAAAACCAAGTTAAGAGTGATGGGTCATTTTATCCAACCACCCATGTTATACTGCACTGGTGCAGTGCTGACAACCTGAACTAGAATGAGCAGTTTTACATCCATATCAGACAGAACATAATCTCATAGGAGAGAAGCATAACAAGAACATGCTCTAACTTTCAAGTCAAATGGTGTTTCGTATTGATGAATATCAGTTACCATGTCTGAGCAAACTCATTATGGTCATGGAGTAAATGATGCAGCTAGTTTGTCAGACAGCATAGCCTATACGACTAAATAACTGAGAACTTTCACAATATATCTGATTTACAAATGGAGGCCCACTGAGGTCTACTTTTAGAACAAAAATGTTTACTTCCCTTTCCAGAAGGAACAGATTGCAAGGGCAGGCAGGTATTCTAGCATACTCCAAATGTTACTCTGATACAAGGGTGCTCAATTAAATGCAAGCACTAGGTGTGAAGCAATTTTTATGTGGGTAAGTTATTTTGCAACTAAAATATGCCCAGGCAATCTCCTCTGCACTGTATTATATTTACATAAACAGGTAACTGAGACAAACTGAGATGCATCTTACCTGTCCCAAAACAGTAGGCTTTAGAGGAACAGCGTTATTCACATCAGGAGTATTTGAAAGGTCAATGAGAGGTCTGCTTTCCCACTCTGAAATAGCACTGGGAGTTTTAGCCATTCCAATATCTACCAGCAACACCTAAAAATAATAAAGTCATTTAGTTTTCTACTTTCTTTTCCTCATAAGAAAGTCAGTCAACTTCTTTGACTAACTGGGGAAAGCTATAAGAATCAATTATTTGTTTTAAACGTAAGTAGAGCACCATAAAGGAAAACAAGCAGCTGATCTTTAATCTGCCAGTGACTTTTTTCCATTTATGAATCAAGAACATGCATCCTGGGCATGAGAATTTGCCTTTTGAGCACTTAGTGAGTTGTTTAAGCACTAAATCTGAACTGAAAATAATGCTCAAGTTCAAATTTAAAGATTTTAAAAATTCAGCTTTAAACCTTGCATCTACAATTGCTGCTTTTTGATGCTTTGACAGAGAAACCGTTCTACGAAGTTCTTAGTTTTAGTTGTGTTTCCATCCAATTGGATTATTATTCTTTCTTTTTTGCACATAAACCCTGTGATGGAAACTTGCTGCATCCCAGCTAGCAAATAACAGATATTATATAAATTAACTAGTTATTGCAAGTTATTACCTCAACTGACTCATTCAGGTAAGGGGGCTTATGCCCGAGCAAAAGCTATAAGTCACTCCTTTGGTAGATTTGAGTTAAGCTTCAATTGGACATTTCTACAGATTTCAGTACTATTTAGAGCGAGTTATACTGTGTAGTCTGTGCAACTGGGATTCTCCCATAACTTATGCATCTTTATGCATCAGGAACACAACCACATCCCAGTGCAAATACAGGGATGACAAATTTGACACAGATCTGAAGGGAGGGGAAGGGGGGAGGTGCATGTGTCAGTTTTCCATGAACATTTAAACACCAAACAAATTCTTTTTTAAATACAGATGACACTAGAGGGTGTATTCATCTTCATAATGTGGTTCACATTAAAATTTAAGTAAGATAGAGGTTTGCAATATTAGCTCTTAATTTAAAAAGCAGCTCACTAGCATTCAGTTCACTCAAAGGCAGTTTTACAAGGAGAAATGGATTTCACATTCCTACCTCATTGGTTTGCGTTTCTTCAGCTGAATTGTTTGGTATTTTAGTTTCTTCTTTTACTTCGGTTTGCAATACATCTACAGTTGATTTTTCTGGTGAAAAATCAAGTATAAGAGGTATGACAGGTGGAGGAGATATTTCATCTTCAGATGAAGACTCCCGGGCCTTGTTCTCTGTTGCCTGTTTAGAACTGGGAAAAATAAGTGGTGCCAGTAATTTGAGTTCTTCAATATTTACTATCGTGTTCACTCATATCCAAGACTGCCTTGAATTAAGACCCCCGAGTACTTAGATTCTGTACATGAAGAATGTGTTTGTTATGAACTTCCATGTACAGAATCCAATTATCAAAAGGTCATCTTAAAATTCATCCCCCCTCTAACTGCTGAAGTCAGGGAAGGCAGCAGTAGGAGGGAGGTACCCACTTCTTGCTCAAAATGCAAAGTTACATGTTTGGTATTTCTCAAAAGGCATTGGGCTAAAAGCCAAAAGACTGCATCCCCCTCCATAGTAGCTAGGCAGTATGGGGCATCTTGTACCTGTGCTCTCAAGTAGAATATGAAGAATAGTTGAGACTTAATGCTTCACCTCTTCTGAGGATGCTAGATTTTTATAATGGCAATAGCCTAAGGTATGACAACACCTTAAAAAGGGTGACACTTGGTTAAATGGAAGATAGGAGTAGATCATTTGTCCTAACTACTCGCTTTTCTCATCTAGAGATTTAGACCCTGCATTATCTTTCAGACAGCAGGGATGTCACTGTGTTGGAAATTACTATTTCTGCATTCAGTCTCTCTCCAGTTCAGAGATTCAGACAAGTTTCATGATGCACATCATTCAAGTTTCAGATAGCATAAAGATGTGAGAAACAAAGCAAAGACCAGATGGACGAACTTGTGTAAAAGTCTCCTGACTTAGGAATTCAGCAAAATTATAACATGCCAGAATAAGCCATTGTGTACAGAAATGTTATTTGGTATTACACATGTCTGGTTATAGTTAGTAGTATAGGCATACATAGGATGCCAACTGAGGTGGAATCCCTATGTTGGCCACAGGAGTACAAGATGTCACACTTCAACAGGACCAGGTTACACCCACAATACTTATCATTCAAAAGGCAAGCTGTCTTACCAAGATGTAAGAATCTTTTTGTTGGATGTGCTGGAAACTTGATGAACCAGCTTAAAGTTTCGTGATGGCACAAATCTAGGTACACTTTTAGGAGACATTACTGGAATTCCTGACGTACGACGATTAATGGGAGTAGGAAGAGCAGAACGCTTTATACTGGCTGGCGTCATTGAAAGGGACCTTGTACTGTGGCAGGAGTTCTGCCAGAGCCCATCTTCTGACACTCTAACAGGAGTACTGACAGCCACACCACTAAAGAAAAAGCATAGAGCATACATTGATAAAAAAAAAAATCTTCTAGAAACTTACTTTGCTTTGTATATAACTAGACAACTCTACGATACAAAAGCCTGCCTTACTTTGGTAAATACTTAAATAGGTTATGAAGGATTAGGATAACTACATCTGAACATTAGAAGTAGACTGGTATATTATACTAGAACTGATTACAACTTAGTTAAGGGCCAGTTAGATTAACCTGACCTTTTCACAAATATTTAAAATTAATTAATTTATGACTAACGGGGGTTTATTTTTTTCAAAATATTACTATAGTTGGTAAAACACAAATTCTACAATGCATAGGTCCTATGTACAAACAGTATTTAAAAGCCTATTCCTTACATATACTCAGTGTCTTACTGTTTTTTAACTCATTAGCATTAAAGAAGTGCCATTGCAATAGGGGAGCTGAAGTCTCTTTTCTTGTACATCGTTAGAATTGCCAACTGAATTCTTATTTCTTACTACTGGCTAACTGAGTGAGAGACAAAACAGACTTTTAGATCCAAAGTTGAATCTGTAGGGCTGGTAGCTAAGTGGGTATGTTCTGGAGAGCAGGGCAGATTGATTTAATTCACCAACTGGAAAGCCTTGATTAAAAACCCAGTTTGTGACAAGTTTATAAAGCTGTACCTCAGAAGTTAGGGAACAAGTATCTTCTCACATGCAGCCTGGAACTAGCTTGTGATAAAGGCTCATATTTTGTTTGCATGTAAAGCATTTCAAAGGATTGCAATGCTTATATCTTAAGTTACACACCTCCCCTCTGCTTGCCAGAATCTCCCAACAGGGCTCCATACCCTGGATTTCAGCAGCAGGCTCCACCCCCAAATTTCCAGCCCCGCAGGCCAGGTGAAATGGCTCCATGGGCTGGATCCAACCTGCAAGCCATATCTTTAACATCCAACTTAATAAAAAGTCCAGTTTTCAGTGAGCATAGATTGGTTCTTGAAAACAAGAATTCTATACTTGTAAAATTCAGATCACACAGGTGACTAGTCAAAAACTGTCTTTGTACAGAAGTAAAAGGCTCAAATGACTTTAAGTTTCAGTTACTGCACATTACCTTCCAAGTATGCTGCAGGATGGTAATCTTATTGATTCTGCTATTTTAGGTGCTGCATTTTCTAGTGATGTACCTAGGACAAGGATTTAAAAAAAAAAAAGAGTGCTGCAAAGTTGTTTACCATTCCTTATCTACACTGGTTTCAATTTCCACCCAGAAACAACTTTAAAATAATATTCAGTCCATTCAGTCACTAGATAAATATACAAGACAAACTACACATGTAATAAGTAGCCAATTTAAAATAAGATCACCTTCCAAAAGGTATACTTACCTCCACCCATTTTAGGGACCTTAATCTGAGTTGTAGGTACAACTTTAGCCTTGGGCTTTGGACATGAGCTTCCTTTTATTCCGCTTCCATCTTTATTTTGCTGATTTAGCTTCTGCAGATTAGGAACAGAGTTTAATCTCTGAATTCCACTTGCTACAGTCTGGGATGCAGTCGCAAAAACTGATGATTTGGCAGAATTTACAACAGTAGGTGTTCTAGGAGTACTAGCAGATCTTGCTTGCTTGCAGGATAAATCAGAATTGGCAGATGACACTCTTACAGATTTAACAAGAGACTGTCTGCTTATAGTAGATGAAAGTTTAGAGCTGCTCACAGAAGTTTTTGAAGGTAGATTTGATTTAGCTGAAAGAAAGCTAAAAATTACACTTCTGAACTGTTTCTTGTTCTTACCACAATTTGTAACAATATATATTTAACCAAGTAAATGATTAAGCTTAAAAACAAGTCTAACTGAAGATAAACTTATTATGCAATGATTAAGAACTATATTCAAAACAACTGAATGTTGGTAGCTACAGGTTATACAAATAGAGCAAATTTACTATAATACTTATTTTCTAACATTTTAAAACTAGGAGTTAGTCAAACTGGTAATTTTCCAGATTCTTCAGGTAAAATCATAAGATAATTCAGCATGTCAGCTTTTAACTTAAATAAGAAAAGAGTAAGATTTTTCAAGAGTGCTTACATAGTTGGCAAGCCTTTCCAGTTGATATTAGAGTTTAAGATGTATTTTCAATATTTTACCTGAAACTAGTTCAGACTACAATTTAAAATGAGCATTTAAAAAGAAAGTCAAAGTTTTCCTAAATATAATAATGTCTTTTAATAGTTGTTCAATTTCTCAGTTTAAGACTAACAGGCTAAATAAAAGTGAAATCTATTTGTAGGTTATAGGAACACACAACATGTGGAAGTCATGAACAAAAATACTGCTCCAATTGAATTTATAAAGAATTAAACCCTTAGTTTTGTAAATTATGTTAACATAATTCTAGGTCTTACATAGTTTGTCTGTTCACCTACTATTCTTCAGATGCTGGATTCTCCTATTCCCTACTCCCACACACAGGAAAGGTACACAACCTTTTCCTGTTCTACAAAAGGCTCACCAGTTTCCCAGCATGACTACTTCATCAGGACCACTTTTCCTATGTTAAAATATTTTCCCTTCCAGATATTTCCTCAAAATTCACTTCCCTAACCCTCTTCAAGTTGGGATCACTTAAACTGACAAGACCTGCTCAACTTTTTATTTCTAAAAAGTTTTCACCATTGTAAGCAATAACCATGACAACTGGAAATGAATAGTTTAATTGAAGTTATTTATTATCCATGTGGTCCTCCTAGTCCATTTTTCACCATTTTAAAACGTACTGACTCTTTATTAACAAAGGCTTAATGCTTCCCCCCCCACCATCTAAGTGGAGACTAGATAATGTTGTACAAATTAAGCACAAAATTCAGGCTTATTAAAATATTATTTGAGCAAAGAATCCCAAGTGTTACAAATAAGATGGGCCACATACTCTAGTTGCTCACAAAACACCATGGGTTTTACTGCATCTTAGCTGATATAGAAATAACATATACAGGTTTACTACTCAAGTAGTGTTTTTTCATGGATCCAGTTCTGTCAGGAGTATTCTCTGGGGTTCGCCATTCATCAGAAATGCAGCTTACCTATATAACCCATGACATTCGGGGCTAGACAGGTATGCAGAACAGTTGTGACCCCTTCCCCTACCCACAAACAAAAAGGCTTAAAGCTGAAGGCTTTTCCAATCTTGACACTACAAATGAATAAAATGACAGCTTCTCGCTTAGTTGTATGGAAATGTTTATCTTTCTTTCATATTTCAATTCTAATGCTTTTACTCCTGTCTTACAGTTACTCAAGAAAAGTTAAGCTCCTGTTCCTATTTACATAGGGCATAAATAAAACCCCAGCGTAATACTACACTTACTGTTTGGCTGTGGAGAACAAAGATACTGGAAAAAAGAGCAGTAGAATGTCTGCTTGGCAAATTAGACAGCTCATATAATTAGACATGAGAACTTCTAAATGTCAACTGAGACATTGACAACACTGTTTAAAAGCCATCTCCAAAAAAGAAGCCTACTTTCCCATTCTGTGACCCTATTTGGTAGATATTAAGCCTATTGACTTTGGAGACTGGTTAATGCAAGTGCTTGACTTGACATAAATGACGTTTAGCTAGCCAACATGAAATTCAAAGTCTCCCTTATTCCACCTATTATTTTTTTCTAATTTAACTCTAAGAGCCTTTAAATATTCTTGGAACCTGTAAATCAAAAGAATCCAATCAAATCAAGACTGCAAGTTTAATAATATTTGTTGTGCCAAGTCTTTATGCTAAAAGTCATACCATTTCCTCCTGCGGGGGAGACAGACACGCTGGAGCTCATACTGGAAACTGATGACGACGATGACGAGGTGTTCTTTCTCTGGGGACCAGTAACAGCACCAAGAGGTTTTAACTGTGTTGCCTTCCTTAACCCCAGCTGTGAACAAAGAAGTCTACTTCATTTAACAGATCAAAAGTATTAAAAGCACATTTTCTAATGTGTTTGGGTGTTGGTTCTCTAGGTTCATTTGTCTCAGGAACAAGTTCCAAAGTCTCCGATATTATTAAGTAAAAGAAAACATTTATTAGCAGTCTACATTGTATAGTGCCTTAACTGTGACAGAATGATATAGGCTATGCTTCGAAAATGGGAACATTAGGTTAGAAGAGCCATTGAGTCCTGTCACTCACCCTTGAACGCAACTTTTTTTTTTCCAGAAAGCTCCAAAAGAATGTCTACTCTAGTCCCTAGCACACAAAGGAACAAAACCTATAAAAATCCCTACAGAAAGCTCCAGGTTGAAGAGCAGGGGAGAAAAGGGTACCTTCCAGGCCCTGCCACTGCATTGTCAGGAAAGCAGTTCAGTGTAATATGCTCAGAGTCCTACAAAGCATACTGTATCCTTGCTAAAAATACCTATAAAAACAAAACAAAAAAAAATTGGTCCTTGCTAGTTTGCCTTGGAGGTGGAAGGCAGGTGACAAGAATGCACTACTGTCCTGTTTCTTACCATGAGCTCAAGTTACTTTCCAAAAGTAAATATTTATTTAAACTAATATTTGTCAGACAGCATACCACAAGTGCTATGGATCCCAAATCTCCCATGGTATTACAAGTCTCATCCAATCTCTTTTCCTGCAGAGCAACCGTTAAAACCAAAACTATTCCAGCAGTGTCAGTTCTAGTTAAAATTAATGTTTCATTTACCCAGAGCCTACCACCTTTGAAGAAAGTAAAGTTAATATTAAGCTACTTGCAACATATGTGATATTTTTTAATAAATAAGTTTGACTAGTCCATGGAATGTAGCCTAATACTCTAACTATATTCATGACATTCCTTGGATTACCTTCCAATTTAAGTCTCACTGTTCTACTCAACATACACTTTAGACTATGGGGACCTTTTCATACAGCATAGTAGGTAGCCACGAAGAACATATACTTTAACCTCTAGTTATCCCCAAAATTCCTTGTCTGCATCGAGTCCTAAATGATGATTGATGCACTGTGTTAAATATGGTAAATAATAAGAGTAAATGTTGTTACAGAGAGGAAAAACATTTGGCTTTACAACTGTAGTTGCAGCATAGAAGTCATTTTAACTTGAATTCATTCCAAGGTTATGGTATTAAATCAATGATAGAAAGATAGATCTGTTGCCTCCATTTTTAAGATTTTCCCCCATCTCGAGTCAACAATTCCCCAAGAATATTTCAGTATGCCATCATATTAAAACACTTGCTAGTACCTTGCTTGGAACAGGAAGAGTTTTCTTGTCCTCTGTTGAACTGCCACTGAATGATGCGTTACAGACATCTGAAGCAGTACTGGACTTGTCAGAGAGCAGGTCTTCAGATGACCCCATGCTGTTCAAGTGCTTGATCCCAGAGGGACTGAGCTGTTTCCCTGGTTTGGGCTGCAAGTTTCAATTTTTAAAACTATTTTAAAAGTTATTAGCCAAAGGATTTGAGAAGTCCTGAAGTTTTTCCACATAAGCAAATTTGTTTAGCAATGCCAGTATTTTCATCATGTCACCCACCAAAAAAGCCTATTGTTACTCTCAAAGAGAGTGTAAAAATTCCAAGTTCTTGACCTGTTTAGCCTTGTCTGAGTAGAAAAGGTGACCAAACGCTCAGCCCACATGCCAGACCAATGCAGAACACGAGAGTAGGTCATGTTCAGCGTGTGAAGAGCTCATGATCATGAGGCTGACCAGCTTGTGATCAGACAGCCTTAACAAATCAGGAGCTGCAGGAGAAGCGTGACTGCCTGGCCAGCAGACACACTCTCTTAACTGTAAATCAGCAGCCTCCTCTGATTGGCTGAAGAGTTTATAAAAGGGACAGCGCGCTAAAGCGCAGGGTCCCGGGTTCCACACAAGCCCTTGGATAGGACTGATCACCCTGTTCAGGAATCCATGTCCCCATGGCCGAATAGTACGAATAGTCATACGAATAGTCACACTCTGGCTATTATTTCACCGAATAGTGAGCTCTCCATCCGCACGTACATCGGAAAAAGCAATTGCTATCTCCTACCTGTCATCTTTAACTACTGCTTCACCACTGTCGTTTTGTTGTGTAACCACTGTTGAAATCTTACTGTAAGTAAACGTTAAGTTCAATTTTACTATCTTCCAACTGAGTCAGTGTCCCTTTCATCCCCGGCCTGTCCATAAGGCGGGTTGGTCATCCACCCACCCCCCGGTTCAACTGGTAAACCACCTGGTGAGTGCTGCGGTTACTAACAAGCCTCTTATTGAATTTAGTGTTAGATCTAGCATAGATCGGATGGATTTTTTTGTTGAAACTGATTAAGTGAGAAAGTAAAATACAAACTCCCTATCCTTCTAAGACAAATGGTAGGAAGAAGCCAGTGTCAAACTCCGAAGCAGTCCCCACAGACAGGAAAACTTAGTAGCCTTGGCTGTGAAGGAGGAAGGAAATAGGACAGGAATCACACTCTACAGATTAGAGGCCATTTACAGGGGCCAACAGCCGTACTGTAAAAACAGCCCTTTCGTGTACTGCTTTTAAGACTGAAGTCCCAGCAACACACACTTGGCTAATCAAAGTGTGCAGCTAGTGTGCGGCACAATATAACCTTTGAGAGTGTTGGTCCCACTAAGCCTAGGTGTTGGTCCCGTCCTATCAGAGTTCTGCTTATTACTGCCAACTCTGAGGACAGCTTAAAGGAAGCAAAGCCATGCTACTAAAGGAATCATTAGAAGCAATACAATACTTTTAACAGAATGATTATAAAATGGCTTAAGCGCCTAAACAGGAGCCAAAAACACTGGAGATTGTTAACAAATAAAGTCAACTAAAACCTCTGAAATATTGTCTAAATACAAATCTTATCTGCACCTTTCATGTATCACAACAGCAGTCCAACTAAACTAACAGAAGCTAGATAAAAATCAAATAAATTCAAGGCAGTTATGGACACAGGCTCACCTTCCTATTTGAGAGTTTCAAACAAGGAAAGCAGCTTCAAAAAAGGAAAGGTTATTTATAAGACTAAAGCTCACAAGTGGTTTAAACAGTTTATCTTAAGATGACTATGGTTCGTCTCAAACATTAAACTGTCTAGATGCCGAGTCTTTACCTTTTCAATTGTCAACTGATTGTTTTTTCCAAAAGCAGCTGATACCTTTGCAGTCTGCAACTTGCTTATTACTTTTTTATTCTTTTCATCTGTTTGCTGTTTTTGTGCTAAAGATGAAATGGCTAATTTAGAAGATTTATGGATTTTGACAGGGCTAGATGCATTTGAAGGAGTCTGCAATGCATGTGTTCTGGAATCTGCTGGCATGGGCAACTCCAACTGCTTCTGAAATGAAGGCGGCAGTTGACAAGCTGGGCTATCCCACACACAGTACGTTTCCCTTTTAATAGTTTTGGGGCTTTTTTCCACCTTCCCTTTTTGGAAGATGTTCAGTTTTGACTTGGAGTCTTGCACAAATTTTTCAATATTCTTGCTTTTGGGTTCTTCAAATTGGCTGACTTTCAGTTCTTCTTTGCTGTCCTTTTTTAACTGAAGTGCCAGCAAGTGAGCTTCTTTAAAAATTTCCACAAATTTCTCTCCTGAAAGAGGACTCCATGTCAGTTTATCATCAGGTGGAGGAGAACACTTTTTCTTAGCACTTTGACTTTCTTCAACTACTGTCTCAATACTAACAGCAATACATTTTTCCTTATGTCCAGGAGGCCCAACAAAAACTTCATCTTCCTCATTTCCACTTTCAGGGGAAAAAAAGAAAAGAAAACAAAACAAAACAGTGAGGATGTAAAAATCATTTATGCTAGAGACATGTATTTGCCCATAAACATTTAACTTACCTCAGTGGAGATAGTGAAAGATCAAAATCAAATTTTTCATCAGCCAAGAGGAGAACACCTGAAAGCAAGATGAGTTCAGTTATGAGCTGTCACAATTACAAGGATTTCCAGGGTCTAATTTGTACTGCAATAGGTTTTGAACTGCACTGCTGTTTGACATTCATTTTAAATGAGTTTTTGCCAAATTTAAAGTAGGGATAACTGAATTACCATCATTTAAAACCAACTACAAAAAACACAATACACTTTGGGATGTGACGAAAAAACTGTCAGAATGGATTTCAGAACTGATCCAGGAAAGAAACTAAGGACTAGGGGTGCACCCCTAGAGATTTTGAGGGCTGATACAGATAACTGATATTTAAGGAGGCATATCAGCTGATACCGATCTGATTTCTGATTTTTAGTTGGGCAACTTGAAGAGCTGCGTGCAGCTGGTAAGTCAGTTGTGGTGGAAGGGAAAGGAAGGGAAGTGGGGGGCAGATTAAGGCCACTGTGGTGAGGGAGAAGTGAGGCTGGGGCTGCCCAGCGGGGGCAGGACAGGGCGTGGGACAGAGCCATGGCTTGTCGGGGAGCGGGGTGCAGCTCCCACCTTGCGTGAACCCTGAGAAGGCATTGGGGTGGGGGTACAGCATGTGCCCCCCCCCCCGATCTGTGTGGGGCAGGCTGCAGTTGCGGGATGGAGGAGGGGGAGTTGAGCCCAGGCTGCGCTCAAGGTGGGTGGCAGTGCTGGCAGAGGGGCTACAGCTGTAGCCCCCCCATAGCCGCCCTCCCAGCACCACCACTGCCCATCCTGAGCCCAGTCCCAGCCCAACACCCTGCCACCCTCCACCAGAAAGAGCCCAGGGCAGCCCCAGCCCTAAACTGCAGCCCGCCCCACCCCACCCAGATCCAGGGGCACACGCCCCCCACCCCGGGGTGCACGCAGTGGTAGGAACCGCCCCCACAAACAACTTGCGGCTCCATCCCATGCCCCCACCACACCCCAGCTGGGCAACCTCAATCCCAGCTCCACTCCCTCCTTCACCACAGGGGCCTTGATCTGCACCCCCCACCCCACACTCCTTCCACAACTGATTTACCAGCTGTACGCAGCTCTCCAAGCTGACAAGCTGTTCTCCTCACCGCCTGTGCTGGGCTGCGGCTGCGCGCATGCATGGGCATTTATTGGCCAAATTATCAGCCACATTGGGTCGATTTCCAATACAGTAAATTTTGTTTATAGCAGTGCCGGTCCAATATTGGACTGGTATATCAGTGCACCTCTACTAAGGACCTTATAGTCCAGAGGTTCCCAAACTGTTTCTTATTACATACCACCTACCAGATTTACTGGCTGCCCACGTACCCCTACCAGCATACAGTTTTATATTTTAACCCCTTAAGTGCCAATTATTATAATGAGAATTTAATCCACCATTACAGAATTTTTCCCACATATCCCCCAGAGATGTCCTGCATACCTCCAGGGGTACGTGTACCATAGTTTGGGAACTCCTGCTATAGTCCATCAGTAACACTCAAAAAGATTATCAGTGCTTTGTTAAGCCTATATGAAAGTTTGTAGAAAATAACTGAGAACCATGTAGTGGGAGAGCAGGGGTGAAAGTCTATGAAATAAGGCCACCCACAGAATGAAACCTTCTCTACTACGTTAAGGAATGAACACAAGAAACATACTGATCTATATACAGTAAAAGCTCTGTTATCTGGCATCCCCTGGGAATGAGGGATGCCAGATAACAAAATATGCCGGTTAATTGAGTGGCCTGAACAGGCATCCTTGCCTGTTCGGGCCGCTGCTTCTCCTACCGCGTCCAGGGCATCACCACCCCTCCCACAGGCCCTGTGGGCCCCGCGGGACAGGGAGGCAGGCCCTGTGCAGCCTGTTACGCCCCTGGGCCGTGGGGGGCTCACAGAAACCGGAAGTGCCACAGTGGGCACTTCCAGTTTCACTATACCTTACAAGCTGGCATGCTGATTAACAGCGCGTGCTAGCTTGTAAGGCGCCGGTTACCGGAGGCTTTACTGTATTTATAATACTAGTAAGTAGCTTGGACTTGTGCATCCTATGCAACAATTTATAAATAATATTTTCTACTTACGACTGCTTATGCAACTATCCGGGTTTTTTTCAACCACAGTACTTGAGCAACCTGATGACTCTTCCTCTCTTTCCTCCATAGCAACTGCAACTGCAAAATAAGACACTTATATGGGATTATAGGAAAGTAGGGCTGGGGAGAAGCTCACAAGCTCAAAGCCAAATCATCCCAGCCAGAAAGTTCCTACTCATCTCCAAACTAAAACTTCCTTTGCTGCAGCTTTAGACCTTTGTTCCTTATCCTGTCCCCTAAAGCCAAAGGGGAAGAGTCTCTCTCTGACCTCTATAAATCAGCCTTCAGATTCTCAAATGCTCCCCAAGACTGAATCCTTATTCTCGTGTACTAGGTACCGCAGGTATTTTTTGAATTGCACAAACCAAATTAGAGATTAAAATTTGTATGTTATCCTACAACAGCTGCAGCTTATTAAACCATCAGCAGTGAAGTACTCACTAAAAAGAAACGAATAAACAAATCTCAGCTACTGCCCTGCAACAGGTTACAGGGCTCATGAATTGTACAAAGCCCCCTTCTTTTCAAATAGTCTGGTGCCAAAAATTAAGGAGGCACGTGAACAATATCATCCATTCACACCCAGCAACGCTGGTATAAATTGTTCCTACATCACTTACAACTGCCTGCTCCCACAGCAGCACAAGGGAGGTAAATCTCTAAACTCGAAGCCTGAATGAAACGTGGGTTCAGGAGAAGGATGCCGACCTGGCCATTCAGCGCAGCAAAAAAATGGACCTTTAAGTCATCTCATCCTGGCTAAATCGACCCTCGGCCTCTTGTTGGCTCAGATCATGCGTAGTCTATGCTTACCTGGCACGGAAACACCCTGACCACAGAGGTGATCTTCCCAGTCGCACTGGGGAAGTCTGCTCTCCTGGTACAGGGATACTACCTGCCAAGGTAATGTATAGTGAACCTCCCATTTAGCTGCTGGAGTTGGACAGTCTTGGCTTTAAGACTACTTTATGGAAAGGAGAGACTCCTCCCTGGCTTGCCTCTGGGGCCTTACGGCTGAGGGCAAGCAAAACTTTGGGGCATCCAAACCCCCAAGTAGCAAGTAGGATGCCTGCCAAAGGATTTGGAAACATCTGAAGCCCCAGATGGGAGTGGAGGGTGTTTGCCAGGAGTAGGGCCACTTATGGTTCTGGACTGACTCTTGGATTTGGAATTTGTTTTAGCTAATTTGGCTGGGAATACGGAAGACTAAAAAGAAAAATAGCAGCAAAAAAAGGATAACACCTATTCCTGGCAGCAACTGCCCCTTTTTAGAAATATGGCTAAAGGCTACTTCTGCCCCCAATCTACAGCCTGCCTCCCAAGACGTAGGTGCAGGTCATCAGCAAGGATCTGATAGATAAGTCAATCTGATAGATAGCTGGATAGATCTCTACCCATCTCTGTCTCTATATGTGATAGAAATGTATTAGTAACATATACTAGTGTATTAGTAATGTATAGTAACAGATCATATAGAGATGGACAGAGATCTATCCATCTACCTGATAGATATACATCTGATAGATACATTAGGTCGGTCGGTCACGTCAGTTGCTCTGGTCGGTCGGTTTCTCCGTCCCATCTATCGATCCGCTGGTCAGTCGATCTCTACCCATCTATATCTCTATCTATCTATATGTAATGATGTTTCATTTTAAATCACGGAAAAACGTGGATCTGGGGTTACTTTTTATAACTCTGAGAATCAGGGATTTTATTTTATCAGAGAAAACCGGGATCCCCGGCCTTCAGGCCCCAGGAAACAGCCCCTGAACATCGCTACCGACCGCCCGGAGGCACCAGGAGCCGCAGCCCCCGCTTCCCACCTACCTCCGAGCGGAGCCCGCGGCCGCGACAGCACGAGGAGGTAGGTGGGCACCGAGGCCCCGCTCGCAAGCGCTGGCTCGGCCCAGCCCCAGGCCCCCGCGCCCCGCCAGGCCAGGCCAGACCGCGCCGCACTCACTGCCGCCGAAACGTTCGAAAGCACAACCCCACCCCCGCCCGCGCTCGGGCGGCCCCGCCCCCTCGGAAAGAGCCGCGGGCGGGGGGGTGCAGTGCCGGGCTCCCGCCGCTTCCAGCCCAGACGCATCCCCTCGGGGTGGACTGCCCCGCCCGTGCGAGGATGCTGTCGTCCCGCTGTGGCAGACTGGAGTCATCGCGCTGTGTTCTCTTGGGCGGGCGCTGAATGCATACATACGGTTAAAACACGGTTAGGTGCTCGGGGGGTGGTGGCGGGCTGTGGGTGATAGTCTCCGCAAAGCCGTGTCCAGAAAAGGGGAACGGAGCAGGCCGTCGTCATTTATGGAGACTGAATTTAAATGAAAAAAAAGTCTTTCAATGCTGTCTTGCCCAGTGAAACGTGTTTCTGTCCGCAGGCAACTCCTCCGCGCTGCAGCTAGGGCTGCTGGACCTGTCGATAAAGCCAGGGGATTTTTTTTTCCTTTTTGGTGAATAAATTACTTGCTAAAAAACTGATTTGCAGCTGTGGTTGCCTCAGATGTTCACAGCTGTGGACTGAATTTGCCAGATAGGTGCCAATAGCAAACTATGAGATCCTTTCTTTCTCAGTGTCCCAGTAATTGGGCCTCTTCCAGGGTCAAATGGACCTTCTGTCTGATTGAGAACAAGGGTTTTCACCAGAGTCCTTCACCTCTCAGGTGACGGCCCTGACCCAGACTAGCAGGTGTTTTGAGGTGGGTTTATCCCTCAGTTTATCGTGTCGGATCTTTTCCAATTCGCATGGACCACGGAAGAGAGAGAGAGAGAAAATATCAGTGACAAACCTGTACACCTGGGCATGTCTGTATGGCCTCGTTCCTAAAAGCAGGACTGTTGCTAAGTGAGTCCTACCCACTGATTCCCATTCTGGCATAGCAGAGACTGGCATACCGGAGCAGCGGCACTGGAGCCCCTCCACACTGCAGGAAGAAGCCCAGCATCATGGCTTGTTTCCAAGGCAGCAGCCAAGCCCTTGGGATGCCAGGCCTCTCCTGTGGTCCTGGGTTGGCCAGAGTGGGTGCCATAGGCGCTGGATCTAGCATGAGGGAGGGGTCCATGGGCCCAATCAGGCCTGAGAGGCCACTTGCACATGCTGCGCACCACTGGTCCCACACCACGCATCTGACCTACACGGGCAGAAGAGTTTGACACCCCTGCTGTACAGTACTCAAAAGGGGCAGATGAGACAGCCTTGGTAATTGTGGGCTGGTTAGCCTGACATCCATTCTGTGCAGAATAATGAAAATGCTGATACTGGATTTAATTACTAAAAGAACTAGAGAATCGCAATATAATTAATGCTAGTCCACTTGGTTTGAATGAAGTACATCTTGTCAAACAACCTGATTTCACTCTATAATGAGATTACCTCACTTTAATAAGATTTGCCTAAGATGTGAGGAAGGGTTTTAATGCATTATTTACTTGGATGTAGGTACCTCCGTTCCACTTAAGTCACACGTTAGATGCTGAAGTCCCATTTTGAATCTGATTTATAGTACTTTGTTTAATAGGATTGGGAATACTCAGTCACAGAGGAAAAATGTAAACCAGATGCGGAGTCAATGACATAAATGTAATTTTTAGACTGCTGCCTTAAACACTCCTTGGGAGTCATAATGTTATTATTTTGCTGCATTATTCAGACTGCTTAAAATTCTTAGGGGATTCTTTTATTTTTGTTAACATCAACATCTTTTTGCACCTTAGTTGAGCAATAGCTGAGGTCAAGGCCCTGTAAGTCAGTTTCCTGTTACACAGAAAGTTAGTGAAACAGCATCTGGGTAGTTCCCTAATGTAAATGGCTTAGTCACATGATAGACCAGTCCTTGAGCAAAAAAGGACACAAACAGCATATAAGCAATCCACTGTTTCAGAAATTTCAGTAAAAAAAACCCCAACCCATGGTGGGGGCCAGTGGTGCAGTTACACCCCCTTTTGATTCCTGCTCCACCTGAATTTTAAAAACAACTGCCTGGGAGGGGCAGTGGCATTTCTAGTCGGGCAGCACTAAGAGGGTCAAACTGACTTCATAGCTCATTATTACCATCTCCCAGACTCCTGCTAATTTTTATCCAGTCCATTGGTGTTAATGACTCTCTATCCTTCTGATGTTTCACTATTTAAACTATGCTTTCTTCTGCAATTTTGCTGTCTCTTAGCCATACCTGCTAATGTCTCTGTTCTATTTCACAGCCCTACAGACTGTCAAACTAAAAACCTTAACTCAGGTGTAGTAATATTAATTCAGGTATAGTAATGATGACTGCCAGTGAAGTATCGGAGGCACTGTCAAAACTCTCAAGTATGCTAGATTTTGTTTTATAAATCAGAATAAGAGACATACTTTTAACTATAATGACTATAGGACTAATGCCACATTATCTTTTGATTTTTTGTGCCTTTTTCTAGTGTGTTGTTTATTAAAACATAATATATCATCTAGCAAATCAGTACACATTCCAATAGTTATATTTATTTTTGCTTTGATCTTTAACTGAATAATATAGTGCTAGCCCCCTAGCATATTAGTAATGTTTCTAGTTTCTCTTTAACTGGAGAAAAATATGTTGTGCTATATGATGTGCCACCCCATCTACACCCCTTTTTTTTAAATACTAGATCCCCCTATACTGGTTACTAGGAAGAAACTTGACATCAAGCATTGACTTTAACTAGTTGGCATAATACAAAAAGCAAAAGTTCTTGCTGCTTGCCACACTCTTCCAAAAAAAATCCACAGGCGAAATAGTCAGACTGAACAAAGTTTTTCAGAGACTGACTTTCAAGACTGCAAGTATGTGTGGACTGTAGTCACAGTGACTGTGGTACAGTGTGGAATTACCTGATCCAGCTTTAGAACAACTAAGTAGCTAGTTCACAGTCTAGCCATGGTAGTGTGGAGCTCAGGGCAGACTAAGTTACCCTGCTTCTTGGGGTATGTTACCATATGTAGTTCATTTTCATCCAGTGAAGCCTATCTTCACAACATATTTTAATTAAAATAGTTGGGAGAAAAGCTCTTTTTATTAAGCGATTCAATACTCCTCCCCTTTTGCAGGCCAAGAATGACACCAATTCATCTATATGAGGCATCATTCACTCTTCCAGTTGAAACAGAAAGGAGAGACCATTCTGCTTATCAGAGAGGGCTTCAGTGAGTTAATTTCAGTTATCAGTTAATCTCAGAAATCAGAGCTTTAAAATTCTCTATGGAGGCTCAGTTTGGTAAGATCAAAGCAGAAATAAAAGAAATTGGAGGCAGGGTCACAAGCCCTGAGATAAAGGTGGAGAGAAAACTACAACCATCAGTAAATCTACATAATACAATGAAGATGACTGAAAAGAAAGAAAATGACTTTATAGAGAAAACTGGGGACTTAGAAAATCTTGAGAGAAAAAGTAACATAAGAATAAGAGGGCTCTGAGAAGATGTGGGGAAGGAGATCCAGCAGAATATTTAAAGCAGGTTTTCTACTCCTTCCTACAGATGAAGACAAAAGCAGCAGTCCTGGCAGACATAGCACACAGAGTTCTCTACATTCCCCCAGGCTCACAAAGACTGAGAGACATGATACTTTGTTGGTACTGATACTTCTGATTCCACTCTGGGAGACTATAAAATACAAGTGTTTTGAAACTTGTCCAGGCTACATTAATAAAAAGGAAGGAACTGAGTGAAATTACAGCATCTCTCAGAGAACAAATATAAGATACACATGGGCTTTTCCTTTTAAGCTTATCTCATGCATCAAGAACAGGAGAACATCATAAAGGAGAAAAAGGAAGACTAAAATCCTTGAAAAATTAAACTTAATGGAAAACATACTGAAATCTCAGCTCAAGCCTCACCCAGACAGCAAAAGGCAAACTATAATATTGAATGGCAAACAGTTAAGGCCAGGAGAAAGAAAACAGCAAAGTACAAGGATAAGGAGACTTGGAGAAGTCACAGAACTAGGGGTATTTGAAGGGATTTGACTGGGACTGAATAATAGTAGGAGGAAATGAAAATGGAGAGGGGAATATCACAAGGACAAAAAGATTAAAAGAGTAATGCTGGGAACCAAAATAATTAGGAAAATGGAAGTAAAGAGAAGCTAAGGCTAAAAACAAATGATAGGGGGTGGGAAAGAGGTATAAATACAGTATAATATGAGAAGAGACTGGGGGAGACTTAAAATATGTCTTTGCACAACTTCCACCAGAAAACAGTATCTGACTAATAATATAGTGCCAGGATTCCCCTGGATGAGAGTTTGTACTCTCCCAGGAAGGTGTTTATTACACAGGTGTGGAGAGGTTAAAGGTACCATTCCATCTGAGGCTTAGAGTGAATCTCCACATTTTAGAAAAAGGGTAGGGTATAAAAATAAGGATCAGTTGGGGATCTAAGTGGGAGGGGTAAAATGTATAAATATAAGGATTGTGTTGGGAGTCAAATGTGAGGGAAATTGGACTGGGTAAATTAATGAGCATGGTAGGGCAGTAAATAAAGTTAATGTTAAGCCTAGAATGTATAGAAGACTACACAGGGACCAAAAGAGTACTGCAGGTATATAAAAGTAGAGCAAGCATAATCTAGATGTGCTTTATTTTTTTATATTGTAAGAAGGTGAAGGCAGTTCCTACTAATATTTATTTATTTATTGCTGGTGATAACTAAACAGCTTACAAGAATGCTGGCAAAGCTTCAGGTAAGAGAGAAGAATTTTATTCAGAAAATAACAAGCATAAAAATGATACAAAATTATTTCTATAAATGTTAAAAAGCTGAACAGCCCTGTTGAAAGAAGAAGAGTTTTGCAAGTAATGAAAAGGTAGACCCAGAATTGTGCTTTTACAAGAAACTCATTTGCAGATTGAACATGAAAAATACTGAGAACAAAAATTTACCAGCCAGTGTCCCAAGCCATATTCTTTGAATATTACTGAATTTTATATTTACATATATAAATATTATATTGATGGTACAGATGATAAATTAAAATAATTGTTTTATGTTATTTCCTTTGGAAAGATGTAGTAACTTCAGCATCAGCTAATTACTGTGTATTACTGCTGGACATGGAGCTTGTACAGACCTACATGCAAAATTTAAATGACTAAATTCTAATATCAGTGCCTTTTATGGAAGAATGTAAACTCGTGACTGGGACCACCTGAAATATGTCAATACAATTAATCTCATTTCTGGCTTTGGTATCAAGTATACCTCATGCCCAACTACTCTAAATTGATTGTAAATAAGTTCCTCTTTCAAGGTGATTGCCTCTCCCTTGTTATCCCATTCCTCTCCAATCTAAGTGTCTGTGCCAGATGGAAAATATTTTGGGATCTGCCCTGTTATAACACTAATCTATACAGTGCCTTACAATTCATGGTCTAAGGTGCTCAATTCAAGTAATCAAGCCCTACTGCAATTAATCAAGTAGTATACCTTCAGTTTAGGGTGTTGGGCTCAAGCAATCAAGCCATACTATAGTTAAGCAAATTATAAAGCTGGAGAGTGATCAAGGGTTTCACCCACAACAACCAGAGATGGATCCAAAAGGTTAACATTTAGAACACAACTAAAAGACAATGACCCTCTACCCTGTCAGCTTTGTCTGGACCCTGATCTTCAACCCATCAAGAAAATATGCTTTGAAGAATGAGTATAAGAGAAGAATGAAGCTGTCAGAAAGTGCACTCATCCCAAAAGAGAAACATCACGCTGTCTCATCATAATCTGCTCCCAGCTAACCACACTTGGCAACGGATCCACACCTGGTGAAAAGTTGCAAAGATCAGGACCGCTTCCTTACCCGTGTTGGTGAGAACCACTATTATGGCTAGAAATATACTGAACTTGATTATAGCTTTTTTTATTTGTAGATTGAAATAGCCTACCTGTAATTTTCCTATACAACTCATTTTTAATTTAATAAAGCCTTTCTTCTAACTATTGATGGAAGTGTTGTCAGTCTTCCTAAACACTAAGCATCCCATTTTAATTGCAACAATTACTCTAGAGTTGGAATTTGATTACAGAGTTGTCTAAATAAAACAAAGAGAAAAAGAAATAGGGAGGAGAGAATTTCATACTACTAATCATTAGTGATCAAGATGGGGATACTTTTTTGCTGTTTCATCAAAATTTTAGATTTTCAGCAAGGTTCTTGTGCAGAACTTATTGGTGGACTCAGGATCTAAACTTGGGCATGTATACATGTGCACTTTAATGCATCTTAGCTTATTTTAATGTGAATTAAAGCGTCACAAAACCCCCATGCTCTTTAGCTAATGCACAATAAAATGGGCTAACATGGATTTTTCCAGTATGGAAATGGAGGTACTAGATTTAATGCACGTTATCCAAAGTGCATTAGTTGAATGTGTAGATGCACCCACATAAACATTTCTAATTCTCACAAAAGGAAGAGAGTGGGATAGTAACAGGAGCTCAGGTGTCTTGCTCTGGATTCAGAGGTATGACATCAGAGGTATTATGTATTTTGTCCCCTCAGTTAACCAAGCTTTAAATGGGTATTCAGTCATTACAGCTGGGGAGTGAAAGAGTGCTTATGAAATGTTATGGATCCAGTGGCAAAAGTCTGAATCTTGTTCTAGACTCCTACTAAAGTCTACTCCCACTCAGCCCTGCTGCAGATAAGTGCCTGCTCCTCTGGGTAGGGATTCAAAGGCAGTTGGCCATGTTGCTGACCACATTTCTTCTTTCTGTGTGCTGCTGGCTACTGGAATTGGTGCGTTTTAACCATGCTAACTCAATGAGGGGCTAGACTTGGGCAGTTTTTTAACTGTTGCACAGACTGTGTATTGAACATGAAAATGTCATCAAACGCAATAAAAATCCCTAAATACTTTAATGAAATTAAATATTTTATGGTGCTGATGCCAATAAAGCTGTGCACATGATGCTTTAGTCTTCTACTTGATAATCTTAAATTAGAGCAGTATTGTGCTAGCAATGTAACTGGAAAGATGTCACTCTTTTTCTGCCTCCTGCATTTTTATGTATAGAATTGTAGGAAAGTCGGGCTTCAAGGAAACACATGAGGTCATCTAGTTCAGCCCCTGTTCCAGGCAGGATCATCCCTAATTAAACCACTGTAGTCAAATATCTGTCTAAAGAGTGTCTGCTTTTGTATAGGGAAGGCTCTTATCTGCTAGCGGTGCATCTAGCATTTAATTTTTAATTCACATATAGTATCTTTCTATGAGACACTGTGTTCCCTATATTTACATCCATTCTCTCATTTAAATAAACATATCCTAGGGTGAATAATCCATACAAACCTAATGTATATGGGTTATTATATGGATATATATAAAATTGTATTGTAGAATTTTACTTTATATATAAGAATTGTATTACAATCCTTACTTTGGAAGGTTATTTATTATTTTCCTGCCTCTCAGATACAAACAAGAAGGAAAGTTTTATTGAGTAGTCATGGACCACAAAACTACTGTCCCCTTTCTCCCAGAGTATTACAGACCTTAAAAGTTACTGTGAAGTGCTGTTTAATTAGAGGGTCTTTCTTTCTTCAGTATATGACTACAAATTTGGGGATATATTTGAATGATGATGACTTTATATTTTTTTCCCCATGTAAATTAAAGCAAGTGCCCACATTGCAGGATGGCAATAAGTTGTTCATCAGGGACAATATGCTTAGAAATATGATAAGGCTTTCTGACTCTGTATTTGCTTAAAGTGAAATGTGTGTGGGTTATACCTCATCCCTTCTCACTTTCCATGTCCAACTCCTTTCTCTGCATTAGTCCATGGGGCGGGCTATTTCTGCAGCTGCAATTCTGGCAACATCTTAGCTGCTTCTGTTTATAAGGAAAGGTCCCAGCAGTTAAAGCACAACTGGAATCACTCATTACTTAGCTCTTGGGCAGCTCAACAGTATGTCCTGGAGAACCAGGCAGTCCACTGTAGTTTAAGCAAAGTTAGTATCTTGTGAGTTGTAGTTGAACAGAGCTTGCAGATCATTATTGCTTGCCAAGCTTGTGGCAAATACTTTTTGTGCACCCAGTGTAGATCTTTACTTTGTGTGGGAGGAAGCAAAAGGATATAAAGGACGCCTTCCCCTACCGTGGTAGGATTGAAAGCCTGTCTTCTTGGGAACACAATCACTACCATGAATTCTTCCAGAAGGTAAGCTGTACCTTACTTTCCTCTAAGCAGGCTGATAACAGAGGGAGGGCAAACCATTTGACAGTGAAAGAATTCCTGTGATGGTCTTAAAATTCTGCTGCTGGATATTGTTATTTGTTTGCAACTCTATAAGGTGCTAAGTAGATCCTGTCCAAAGAACTACACATTAAATAATACATGCATTTCTTTAGAAGATGGCATTTACTACCCACAGTTTGTCATTAGTCATTTTCTAAAAGTTCCTTTCTGAGGTATGTGTGTATGTGTCTGTGTTACAGTGTTGCACTCAAGGGCTGTGCCTACATTGCCATTTTTCTTTAGATCTCCTGTAGTTGCGTGAGTGCTAATATAGGCAGAAACACCAACAGGTTATTTAATACTTCTCAGAGCAGTTTTAGGCAACTTGGCATTTTGACTGCACTGAATTCAGATGGAGTTGTGAGTGCTGACCAGTTCTCAAAATCGGAACAACGGTCAGATAGTGTCTCTAAGGGTGGGCAACCAATCTAGCCCTGGGCACCAATTTAGAGCAGGCACCAGACTGTCATTCCTGGGGAGCCCATGCTATAGAACTGCTGCAGCTGGTGTGCAGTGAGCTCGTCCCCATACCTCTGCCCAAGGAACTGAAGGAGCTTGCTGCACTTCTACAAGTGGTGTTCCCACTGTGGACCTAAAAACTGAGACTCCAATAAATAGAAGGTGCTTATAAAAATGTGTTATTATTTTCCATATGCTTTAGTTTCCACCTTTATAAAATGTGAATAGAAATGCCTGCTTCACAAAGGTGCCATCCCATTCAGGGCTGAATCATCTTTGTGTATCTGTGGCACTTTCATAGCTGCATAAGCACACTTTTTGGCACATTGTGGATTTTGTTTCTACCTGTGTCAGAAGAGGATCACCTAGATATACACATACCTGCAGGAAGCAGAGATTGGAGGAGTGTTCTCCCATCCCTAGCCCAGTACCTTTTATCTTCTGCTGTTAGCAAAGTGCTGTCACCAGCAGGCCACAGGCTTATAATTTCTCAGAGTACTCTCCAGCTCTTCTGAAGTTGGTTCACTAAGCAGCCAGGCTGGGAAGAGATACAGGACTTGGAGGTGTGCAAGGTAATAGAAGTGCGGCTCCATGAGACAGATGCTGCCCTAAAAATAGGGAGCCCTAGGTTCTAGCCCCTGGCTTCTCTGCATCTTTTGTTTAATGTTCATTAGGCAAAATAGATCAACAACAGTGGGCTAGTTTCTGCTTCACTGGGGGTAGGGACAGAGCTACCTTCCTTCTAGGGCAGCATCTTACCCATGAGGCACCCTTCGTCTAGCTTGCCTGCCTCCTGGGCCCACATTTCTTTCTGTTTTGGCTTTGCAGCAGGCCAACTTCAAGAAGTACGCTGGAGAGTCCTTCAGGGAATGCTCACCTTGTGACCAAGTGGTTAAAGCACTTTGTTAGGAAGCAGGAGACCGATTCAAACCCTCTTTGGGTGCAGGGAATCTGGACCTGGATACCCCAGTTCCTGGGCAAGTCCCTGTTCACTAGGGTACTGGGCTAAAAGGTGTGAGGGGCCCTATTCCTTTCCAGTTGTCTCTCTTCTGTGACTGCAGGTTTGAGACCTACAGAAGAGTTAAGCGTGACTGAGGGATTCTCTTTCACAAGAGAGCCTTCATGGTCAGAGAGCAGCTTTCTGAGCATGCTCTGATGGGAAGCACAGGGCCAATATAAGTGTATTGGCAAGTGTACACAAAGGCCAGTGTTTACAAGTACTAACCTCTGGCAGCGTTTATTAGTTTACTGCAACATAATAGGGCCACCGGTGTAGACACGGATACTTTACTGCAGAGCTAATTAAGCAGCTCCGCAGTAAACATCTCCTGTAGATGTGCCCTGTGTTTATAAAGCCTTGTGAAACCATATGGAAAAGGTATCAGATACACAAAAGATCTTTCTCAGTACAGGTGCTATTGGACAGAGGCTTACAGCACAGTTATCAATCATGACTGGTACCCTTCGTCAATGATTACATTCAGTGTCCTGGATACTAAAGTACTGTGTGTCCGTTCTCTGGTACAGCTGGAAATAGATTGTCAGAGGCAGTTTGGGCAGCTTAAGTGGTGGTGCTGCTTCTTTTCGGTGAATAAAAGAGAATTTCAGTCTCCAGTCTTTTCAATTTGCCCCTATTCATGAACACTAAGAAACAAAAGAGAATGTTTCACACAACTGATTTGTATCAACAAGAAAGTGAAGAATAACTTTTGCCAGAAGCACGGTACATCCTCTGGCAAGCCTGTACCCAGCCTCTCCTGTCTGTCATTGTTGGAGATGTACCAAGTGGCTGGTAAGTGTTGCTTATTTCCAGTTATGGAGATTCTCCTACTAACCCTGTACAGCATGAGGTGTTCTTTGCCAAATCTAGTCAATGATTTAATATGCTCCACAGAGTTCACTATCATATTATAGGACTCTTAACAAAAAAAGAGCCAGTTTTAATCATATCTTGCTTTTTGTTTTGACAGAATACATTCTCTCCGTGCTCACAGGCCAAAGGCGCCTGCAAATATGAGTGAGAACTGGCACAGTTCCTGCAGATGCAAACAGGACCGCGGAGATGAACTATCTACAGTCCATACACTTTACACTGTGATCATCATGGTCATCCTAATGGTGATATGGGGGGCCTGGGCAAGAAAAGATGCCTATTTATAGCTGCAAGCTACCTTTTGTGTCAGGAGTTCAGAATTCAGAGAGATACTCATGACAATAAAAAATACCCAGGAAGATACAAAAGCCCAGGGCTTTGTGAATCACAGCTCATCTTGCACATAAAATGGAACTGCTTCTGTCAGTGGATTTGGCTAAGTCAAATTCTGTGGACAAAATCTAGAACACAATTTCAGCAATGAAAGTAACATTTTTGTAACAACATTTGTGGCATAACGTACTACATAATTCCTTTTAGATAAAGGAAACTGTATTTTAAATTCAGTACAATGGTAAAAAGGTTAGATTCACATTTTTGCTGGACAATGTATATATATTTTTACATCCATTTTCCACTTTTGAACTCTAGATGTTCACTTGTTTGTGGTTTTATATTGCAGTGTAAATTGTGACAGGCTTGAGTAGCCTACTTCCTCCCCTGCTAGTAGGGAGTTAACTGATTAGTGTAATCTTGACAGGACTGAAGACCAAACGAACACTTGATAATAAAACAGGAGTAATCCATAAAAAGAAACCCAGCTGGTTGATGAACAGAATACAGTAGTTCGTGATTGTAGCTTGAGGCCTGGATTTATGCCTATGTGAAAACCTTTTTCTTTTATTAAAATCCTATGCAGGTTCAAGAATAAAGCTTTGCCTATTTGTGAGAGTGTTTTGTTGCTGAAAACCTATAGCTCATTCTACCATTTCCCATCCTCCATAATATCATCTTTAACCACTGTCTACTCTACATCAACCCACTGCTTACCATATCATAGGGGTAGAGATCCACATATAGATGAAAAGTAGAGCTGGAAGGTATGTCCAGAGGTTACCTAATCCAGCTCCCTGCCAGAAGCAGCATCATCCCTATCCAAACCATCCTGTAGAAATCCATTGTCCAACCTATTAGTAAAACTAAAGTCAACCCTGACAACCTCAAGACATAACACATTAACCTGCCACAGAGAAAACAGGGAGGCAACAGCAGCCATGGTCCTGCTATGAGGATTGTTAAAAATATGCTTAAGAGATCCATGCCCTCTGCTACAGAGGAATGCAAAACGCCTCACAGTCTGTACCAATCTGACCATGGAATAAAATTCCTTCCTGACCCCAAATATGGCGATTGGTCTGAGCCTAAGCAGAGGGGCAAGACCCTCTAGGCAGGAATCTACCGGTTAAAG